ATGTATGCTCTAGGATGCAGAGGACCACACAAGGCACGGTGGTGGACACGATTCCCCAGAATCGCAGGTTCTCGGGCCGCATCTTGAACCTGAGGAGTCTTCATTTAACAACCCTGAGGGTGATCTGACCACAGGTTCAAGATTCAGCAGCTCGGTTTGCGTGGTGCGGGCAAGAAACACACACCACAGCCACACACTGTGAGAGCTAAGTAGTGTCATGGCTGGGCCTCCACTTGGCCTAGGTGTGTCTGACACTGCCATTAACACAGCTCCGTGTCCACCTCCCAGTAAGTCACAAATACTTAATAGCACACTTCAAAGCTGGGAAATGCAGTAAAGCCGTGATGTGATGCAGGTAAATAGAGACGTGGTGCATGGAGGCTGAGTGGTGGGGGCTGTGCTGATGCTCAGGAAACATGACGGCTTCATCACCTGGTGGAGTGGACAAGCTGGAGACTGGCTCTACCTGCCATTCCCCACTTGACGAGGACAGCTCCGCCCAGGACTGATGCTGGCTCAAATACGTGGCAGTGACCATGGAAACAGCTGATCTGAACACACTCATTTCAGGTTAGAGATCTAAGTACACACCCAATCTAAAAACACTTCTTTAGAGCAGGTGCAATGGCTCAGTGGGTAAAGGGGCTTGTCACTAAGCCTTAGACCCTCAGATCCTCAGATCCTCCGCAGTGGGAAGACCTCCACACACTCGCTGTGGTGCCTCTGCACACTCACACAAACACATAATTAAGAAACAAATGTAATAAAAAATACTTCTTAAAAAAAATAGCTTGCTGGGCGGTGGTGGCGCACGCCTTTAATCCCAGCACTCGGGAGGCAGAGGCAGGCGGATCTCTGTGAGTTTGAGGCCAGCCTGGTCTACAAAAGCTAGTTCCAGGACAGGCTCCAAAGCTACAGAGAAACCCTGTCTCGAAAAACCAAAAAAAAAAAAAAAAAAAAAAAAAAAAAAGCTTGCTAAGAGGCTATGGGCATAGTTCAGTAGTAGAGCAGGTCTAGCATGTCTGAGGTCCTTACTTTCATCTCCAGATCCAATTAAAAAAAGGTTAAAATTAAGACTCACTTATGTTGGTCCCATGTTCTCCCAGTTCATGATGGTGAGCTTCTATAGTATCTGTGTTGCAGAGCACTGGCTACAGGAGGTATCTCATTTATGCCCCACCCACCCAGCCAGTCAGCTGCTGCTGTCCTTATTAACAGACTAGAAAACTGCAAGACAGAGAAGTGACTTGTCCCTGGGCCCAGCAGTAGGTGGCAGAGTCAGGACTTTAGGCCCAGTAGCCTGACTCCAAAGCTCTTGATTCTAGCAGTACAGGGGAGCCGTGTACTCACCGCCCCGTCTTTGATGAAAGTATGGCACAGATCCGCAATTTTATTTCTTGACAGGGATATTCTCCTGAGGAAAAGCTCTCCTCTCTCAATCATGATCTTCTTACACTTGGAGTAATCCTAGGGAGAGGAGCAAAATGAAGGGAGACCGCAGGACGCTGACAGTATCTGTAGGCCAACAGAGAAGCGGAAGAGGCTCCCGAGGGAGGGGGGCTTACAGAGTACTCCAGGGAGGTGAGGCTGATGAAGCGGAGGAAGAGCTCTCCACCAGATGACACGGCCACGGACGAGTCCACGCCACACAGGGTTTCTATGGCACTGGTGAGGTTCGCCCTCAGGCCCTGCAGTGTCTCCCCTGCAATGACGTCAGGAATGTGATGTTCATTTAGGGTGACGGCCCTTGCGGGCCTGCACTTCATCCACTCTTACAAAGAACACTGGCTGCATCTCTGTGCCAGCCACTGGGAGATGCTGCATGAGAGGGCTCTGTTCTCACGAACAATAAACAACAGACAAGTGACAAACTGTCAGAGGACAGGAGACGGTAGGATGATGAACAAGAGCGAGCTACTGTAAAGGGTTGGCCTCTTGCATTACAGGCCATTTAAATGGAGACTTGGATAGGAAAGGACCCAGTGAGGACAGCTTCTGTGTAGACATCAGTGATACAAAGGCCCAAGGTAGGAACACACTTGGGATAAAGAGCAAAGAAGGCCAATGAGATGACTGAGCAAAAGCACTGTGCGGCTCAAGCCTGGTGGCCTGAGTGCGAAAGACCCAACTCCGGAAAGCTGTCCACTAAGCATACCGGCTCACCGTGGCATATGCATACCACACTCATGCACATGCTAATAATAAGATAGAAATTAAAAATCCAAGAAGCCAGCAGGGCTGCGTTCATGTATTCTGCAGTGAGCGACAGCATGGCAGATGGTGAGACAGTGCGGGTCCACAGTATCTGAATGTATGGACATTGGGAAGACACTCGAGGCTGTGTTAGAGAAATTTTTCTCTTGGCCACCCCATGAGAATAAAAAAGGCATCATTATAATTTCTGTGTAAAAGAAGTCATATTATGCCAAAATCTTAAGATTACAATATTTGTTTAGTAGATCCCAGTGAATATTGATGCCAGATTTTTTTCCCCCCCGAGACAGGGTTTCTGTGTAGCCCTGGATGTTCTGGAACTAGCTAGCTCTGTAAACCAGGCTGGCCTCGAACTCACAAAGATCCGCCTGTCTCTGCCTCCCAAGTGCTAGGAGTAAAGGCAAGCGCTACCAGAATATTTTGTTTGTTTTTGGAGACAGGTTTCTCGGTGTAGCCCTGGCTGTCCTGAAACCCACTCTGGATTTGAACTCAGAGATCCGCCTACCTCTTCTTCCCGAGTGCTAGGATCAAAGGTATGTGCCACTATACCTAGCAATATTTATTCTGGAACATTCTCTATAGCATCTGCACAGAATCTAGGACAAGCTAGATGCTTGGTACTCATCTATAAAGCTAAATTATTGCTTTCCTTTAAGCCTTTTGTTATACTGACTCTCGATTCCCAGCTTATTTTATAGGTAAATAGGTGTCCTTTAGGTGACAGCCTGAGGGCTCCCTGGCCAAAAGGATGGACGCAGAGACAGAAGCTGAGCTTGAGACTGTAGGCAGACCTGCACGGCTCCCTGTCCCTGTCTGCTCTCCTAGAAGTGATCTGAAAACGTTCCTAAGGCCCAGGTTGTCAAGGGTGACTCTTTGTACCTTTGTCTCTCTTCAAGAACTCCAGCAAGGTCTGGATGGCAGCCACTGCCGAGGCCATGTTAGGATCGCCTTTCATCTGAGACTTAAAGTATTCAATTAACTCTAGGAAGAGAGGGAAAAAACATGAGTCATCACCCAAACTTAGCAAGATGAGGCTAGAGTGCTTGGTAACAACTGCTGACCTTGAATAAGAAGCAAAAACATTAAAAACAATTTTATTTTTAAAGAAGAGCAGCTTTTAAAGTTACAGGGAACAAGTGTTGACTGGGATAGGAGATACTTCCGTACTATTGGCAGGGACACCTCTTTCATATCGGTTTTTCTTCTTTCTTCTTAGTGTTTTTGAGACAGGGTTTCCTCTATAGCTTTTGGAGCCTGTCCTGGAACTCGCTAGGCAGACCAAGCTGGCCTTGAACTCGCTGAGACCCGCGCCTGCTTCTGCCTCCAGAGTGTTGGAAAAACTCTGGTGTGTCAGAGACTTTAGAGGTCAAGACCAGGGGTTAGTAGTCTAGGGAGTCCTCTCATCCACTTTATTAATCTCTCCTGCAGCCTTCTGAGCAGTCTACAGTCAAGTCTACTCGTGTGCCCAAATACAAATGGGAAAATGCATACAGTTCTACCTAGCTTAGTTTTCATTAAAGTAAATATATTAGTTTGTTTTTCACTCAACAGAAACATCCTGGTAACCACGATGGACAAGAAAACTAACGATGCCTTATTCCTTCAAGTAGGGACAATGTGTCTTCTTACTGCGCACAGAGGACACCCGGACACGGAGGCTTGCACACTGACTCTCAGAGCCAGTTTTTGTTTGTTTTTCGAGACACGGTTTCTCCGTGTGACAGTCCTAGCTGTCTTGGAACTCGCTCTGTAGACCAGACTGGCCTCGAACTCAGAGAGATCCGCCTGCCTCTGTCTCCCGAGTGCTGGGATTAAAGGCGTGCGGTACCACTGCCCGACAAGAGAGCCAGTTTTTTGGAAGAGGCCCCTCGGACAGCGTGTGCTGAAGCCAGTTTGCGCGCGTCCGAGAGGCCCAGACCACAACACAAAAGCAGTGAGAGCAGGAAGCAGCTCGAGCCCGGACTGCCCGTGTCCCCGCCGCTCGGGTCACCCACTCACCGTGGTTCTCCATCGCTTCTCCGCGAGCCTCGCAACTGCGCCGGCAGCAAGGCACAGGCTGACAGCGTGTCGCACGTTTCAAACATCACTTCCTTCGCCTCGAAGTTGAGGTGACGTCGTTTGTCAGCGCCGGAAGTTGGCGTGCGCGTGTCGAACCGTGGGCGGCTCTCCACCGAGGCGTAGGGGCACCATGGCCACAGACGGTGAGGGTGGCACGGGCCGGACGCGGAGCTGGGCTGGGAGGGACACGTTTGGTTGTTAAACGAGCAGCCAGTGTAGTCGTTCGTTCACTCAGCAATTTCATTGTTGAGACAGGGTCTCACATAGATTTCGTGATGTCAAGGATGGTCTTGAACTCTTGATCCTCCAGCCTCTAGCGTGCTGGAAATCACAGGCGTGCCCGTGGTACTCAGATCTTTGTGCTTTCTCAGTAGGCTTCCTACCAGTTGAGTCCCATCCCCAGCCCTAGTATTTTTACGTAGGCGCCCTGTCCTGCCTTAGCCTTCCGAGTTCTGGGGTTACAGGCCTGCATTAGCACGCCAGTGTGTCGTTCGGTAAATACTGGGATTGTCCCCGTGTACTGAACGTTATTCTCGAAACTGGAGAGTACAGCACAGAATCAACACAGGGAAATTTGAGTGTGTGGTGTCATTCGGTGGAGAGGGGCGGTTGACAAGTGAAATCATTTCAAGAGGTGACCAGGGCTCTGAGGACCAAATGTGTGACAACTAAGTTCAAGAGGGCTGTCTTTCGTTAGTACTCCATTAGAGATGGAGGCACTAGAACTGGATTGAGCAACACTATGAAGTTCACTTTAAGTACAAACATCCTGGGAGGTTAAACTTAGAAGAGCAAAACGGGCAGTGGGCGGATAGAGGAAGGTGAGAGAGAGGCTCTTATTCATATACTAACCTGCTAGTTACAGCTTTTAAATTACATTTCCTCCCAAAGATTCTTGCGTTTATTTAGTGTGTGTGTGTGTGTGTGTGTGTGTGTGTGCGTGTGCGAGAGAGAGAGAGAGAGAGAGAGAGAGCGCACACACTTAGGAAGTCAGAGGCAAACTTGTGGGAATCGGTTCTCTTATTGATTGTTTAGGTTTCTGGGATTGAACTCAGGTCATCGGGCTTGTAAGCAATCACCTTTACCAGCTGAGCCCTCTCACTGGCCCCGAGTTATTTAGATTGACAACATTAGAAGCATCGCTTTGGCTACTGTGTGAGAAATGGATTCTGGGGAGCAAGAGTAATTAGGGAAGTGCACTCAGCAGTCATAGACATGACCCACACCTCTGTGAGAAAGGCAGACCTGGCACAGCTTGTCAGCCAGGGAGGCAGAGGCTGAAGGAGCTTGGCAGAGACATTTCATGCACACACTTCTGACAGGCAGCGCATTGTTTTCTTTCTTAGTCTTCTTGGTACTATCAAGGAAGGGAGCCTAAGCAGGATTTGGTTCTGCAGAAACCAGAGGTGGGGGATGGTCCTGGTGAAGAAGCTGGGCTGGGAGAAGGAAAGTAGGAGGCAGTAAGTTGGGCACACACTCGCCCAGCTCTGTTATTATGTGCACATCCAGGCTTTTCATGACAGCAGGCACTGGCAGGGTTGCTTTGTCCCTTCAAGTGCAGGCTCTTGGCTGGGTGTGGTGCCAGATACTCAAGAGGTAGGAGGTTACCAAATCAAGGCCAGCCTGGGCAATTTTTTAAGATGCTGTTTTAAAGGGTCATGGTTCCTAGGGAGATGACTCAGTGGTTCAGAGTACTATCAGGGGACCCTGGTTAGTCCAGCAGCCACAGAGCTGCAGAAACATCCAGGGAATATGGTGCCATCTCCCAACCTCTGAGGGCACTTCATAAATGTGGCACACATACATAGCTGCAGTCAAAGCTCTCACTCATATAGAATAAATGTAATTGTTTTTTTTTCCCATGGGAAAAATGTTTATTTTGAAATTATTTTAGTTTAGAAATACAAAACCTCTTGGGGAGGGAAAAAGGAAAGGAAAACACAAAGTATACAGGCAACTTTTTACTTCATAAGCTTCTCACACCCTCATTTGCTCCTAGTTCCCGCGAAGAGAAAGCATTCAGCCACCCACAATAATATTATTAATAGGGATATGGATCAGTTTCACAAAGAAGCCAATGAATCCCATGATAGCAAATCCTATGGCTGTGGCCATGGCAATCTTCTGGAATTCTTTTCTGTCGGGTTTGGTGCATCTTTTAACCAGCCGAATTGAGTCCTTTACGAACTGCCGACTTGGCTCAACAAACTGCATCACCTGATCCATGACTGATTGCGGGACGGCGGCTTGAGGAGGCAAAGACACGTAGCTTAGGAAAGGACTAATGTAATTGTTTTTAAGTAAGAAAATGCTGGGGCTGTCGTTTGGTGGCAGAGCCCTTTCTTACCATGTAGAAGTTTCTGTGTTTATTTTATTCCCAGGACCAGAGTAAATGAAGCATAGGTTCTTCGAGGACTCAGAGCCAGGACCTCCATCACTAGTCATAGTTATTACTGTGGCTGTTTGTTGAAAGCTTGTGTTAGCTGGGCCTGCTTTGTTGTGTCTGTCAGTGTGGATAGTGGCCTAATTCCTTTACATGGCAAAACTTTGTTCACAGCCGGGCAGTGGAGGCTCACGCTTTTCATCCCAGCATTTGGGAATCAGAGGCAGGCAGATCTCTGTGAGTTCGAGGCCAGCCTGGTCTACAAGAGCAAGTTCCATGATAGCTAGCAATAATAATAATAACAACAACAACAACAACAACAATAATAATCAATCGTTCACATAAGAATTGTTTTCCCCTCTTTGGCTCTTTTAAAAAGTTGGGCCCTGGTCTGGGAATGTAGCAATATAGTAAGAGTCCTTGCCTGACATTCACAGAGCCCTGGTTTGGTCCCCAGCACTGTTTCCCACCAGATGTGCTGGTACTGAAGAGACTGAAGGATCAGTAGTTTGATGTCATCCTTAGCTACGCAAGGTGTTTGAGGCCAGCCTGTGCTATATAAATAAAAACTAACTAAATAAATAAAATAAAGATTCTTAATCCCCGCTGGCTTGGCTGTTGTACGATGGCTCATCCTGGCTGCTCATGGACCAGCCTCGTGGCTCAGGGGTCCCTAATCTGCTTGAAATCCTATCGTGGAGATTCCTGTTGCTCATTCAGTAAGCTCAAGACCAGGTTTTAAAATGTGGATACCTTTGGGTTAAGTCAGTATACGTTTGTGGAGTGTCCACCACATGCCAGGAGCAGAGGATTGGCATGCCCCACCCACAGCCTAGCGCTTATAGTGCTGGGGGCAGGTGAGCGCTAAGAAGGTCTGCCCAGCTCCTCAGCCCTGGTCAGCTCAGCCTGGACCTGGTTTTGAACTTGGGGAGATCCATCTGCCTCCTCCAAATGTTGGGATTCCCCAGCATTTAAAATTAAATTTTTTCCTTAACATTTATTATGTGTGTGTTAGTGGGCAGCTTTGTTAAGTCAGGACTCACCTAACCATGTGCATGCTAGGAATTGAACTCTGGTCATCGGGCATGGCCATAAGCCTTTACCTCGTAAGCCATCTCTGACCCTTATTTTATAAAATGAGATACTGGCTCTCAAACCTAGGGCTTCCCCAATACCAGGCAAGCACTCTAATCATTTAGCTGTATCTTCAGCCCATAATTTTTAAGGAAACTTGGCTCTTTCGGTGAGCTCATGATCCGTCAGAGGATGATAGCCATATGAGGCCCTCTAGTTATTAAATGACCATCAGGAATGTTGGCTGTATTTCAGTTTCATGAGGCTGACATTTTGAAATGTTGCTCTTGTTCCTGTTTGCAGAAGATGAGTTGAATCTTCTGGTTATCATAGTTGACACCAACCCGATTTGGTGGGGAAAGCAAGCATTAAAGGGATCTCAGGTAAGATGGCTTGAGCCTTCCCACGATTCTCCTTAATTCCAGTTTGTGTGTATGCCACCCACTACTTTGCAAGCAGTATTGGGTTCTTACAAGCCGGGTGTGGTGGCCCTCGTCCAGTCCTAGCCCTTAGGTGGAGGCAGGCAGATCTCAGGAGGTCAGGCTCATTTTTCCAGTCTAGGCATCTAGAGACACTGTCAGAAAGGAGAGCTGTGAGCATATAACAGCGCCAGTTATACCGTACAGACCAGGGAGTTCTTAGAGCAGGGAGATGTGTACCTGGCCCCACCGGACCCAGGAATGCACATGAAGTCCTCAAGCCTGGTGACCTGTTGACTGTCACCCTCTTCCGGCCTACGTATGCAGGCAGCTGATTGCCTCCTGTCTATTTTGCTTTTCTAAACAGTTCCTATATCTCTTGTATGAGGAGGCGTCTTCTGTTATATATCTGCTTGGGGGAGGGAGTATGGCGTGCCGCAGCACGTATATGGAGGTCAGTGAAACATCTTTCGGGGGCCTGTTCTTTGCATCAATCGTGCGCTCTAGGGATCGAGCTCAGCTCATCAGCCTTGGTCTAAAGCACCTTTAACCACTGAGCTATCCCACCAGACCTCGTCTTTGGAGTTTTGAGATAGGTAGGGTCATCCTTTTTGTGTTTTTACATTTAGTCTTTGTTTGTGTATGTGTGTGGATGCTTGCATGTTGTAGACACCTGTAGTTAGTTTGCTTCTTTCTCTAAGTGCTCCCCAGGCATCAAAGTTCCTGTATTTGTTGAGCCATCTCATTGACCCAAGTTTTAAATTTTGATGAAACACAGTTTATTTATTGAAACAAAACAAAACAAACGAGATTGTGCTTTTTTAAAAAATTTTTTCAGTACAGGAATTTGGGTATCCCAGGCTGGCCTTGAACTTGCTGTACAGCCTGAGGATGAACTTCTGGTTCAGCTGCCTCTGTCTCCTAAGTTCAAGGCTTCCAAGTTTACATGTGTGGCCCCACCATGCCAGTATTTGAGAAGTAATGTTCTCGTGTATAAACGATTCTGTCAGTAAAGTCAAGAAGGCTTCCTCTCGGGGCTGGAGAGATGGCTCAGAGGTTAAGAGTATTGCCTCCTCTTCCAAAGGTACTGAGTTCAATTCCCAGCAATCACATGGTGGCTCACAACCATCTATAATGGGGTCTGGTGCCCTCTTCTGGCCTGCAGGCATTCACACAGACGGAATATTGTATACATAATAAATAAATAAATCTTTTTAAAAAAAAAAAAAAGAAGAAGGCTTCCTCTCAGGTGCTGTGCTTCCGGTTTTAGGAGCAGCGGAGCTGAGCCGATTTTTAGTGTTGAGTCACTGTGTAGGATGTCGGTGACTGTCCATCGGCACATAGTGGCACATGTCACGACGGGGAGGTAAAGACAGGTGAATTGCTGGACATTTGTTGCCCAGGGCAAGGCTCTTTCTTAAACACATTAGTGTATAAGTAAAGCTAAGTAATGAACAATCGGTTTTTCAATGCCGTCTTCATCAGGAACTGACTTGTTTTTCCCATGTTTGTCAGTTCACTTTATCCAAGTGCATGGATGCTGTGATGGTGCTGGCGAATTCCCACCTCTTCATGAACCGCTCCAACCAGCTGGCGGTGATAGCCAGCCACATCCAGGAAAGGTAGGACCAGCACTCTGCTGGGGCTGCTTTCTAGTCCTTGCTGGTTTCATACACGTGTGTAGACATGCTGGTTACTCTACCCTGTCAGCCGATTCTTATACCCGGGGAAGAATGGCAGACTTGGAGACTTCTTTGGAGACCCTGGCAACCCGCTTCCTGACTATAATCCCTCCGGGAGTAAAGACGGGAAATACGAATTGTTGACAGCTGCAAATGAGGTGATCGCCGAGGAGATCAAAGATCTGATGACCAAAAGTAAGAGCCTGGCTATAGTCACTGTTACCTCCTTGTAGTGAAACTGTTGTATACTTTTAAAATGTAAGGTTTGTATTGAATCTTTGAGGATTTCATGTGTACCATGTATTTTGGTGATATTTGCCAACCCCATTCTTCCTAACCCTTCCTATTTCCTCACCTCCTCCCAACTCTCTCTCTTTAATAATCTGGCCAGGGTTGCAAATGCCTTTGATTTCAGCACTCAAGAGACAGAGGCAGAAGATCTCCTGTGAGTTCTAAGCCAGCCTGGTCTACTTATCCAGTTCCAGGAGAAAGTTTGTCTCAAAAACAAAAAATAAAACAAAACAAAGAACCCTCTTGTGTTGCCCATATTCTCACGGTATGGGCCATGTCCTGGAGTATGGTTGCCCTGTCAGGGACCACACCCTTAAAAAAAGCCAACCTTGCCACCCCAGGCCATCGGTTGTTAATGGCTCCCCAGCTAGGGGAGGCTCATGCATCTGTCCATCTTAGTTACGTTTCTATTGCTGTTAAAAAGCACTATGACCAGGGCAACTTACAAAGCGTTTAATTTGGGATTCATGGTTCCAAAGGGTAGTAGAACCTTCGTGGTAGGGAGCATGGCAGCAGGCAGGTGGGATTGGTGCTGGAGCAGTAGCTGAGAATTTACATCTAATTCAAAAGCACAGAGTAGGGGAAGAGCTAACTGGAAATGGCATGAATTTTTGAAACCTTACAGTCCACCTCTGGTGACAAATCTCCAACAAGACCACACCTCCCAATCCTTCCCAAACAGTTCCTCCAACTGGGGCCCAGGAATTCACATGTATGAGCCTGTGGCAGCCATTTTCATCCAAACCGCTGCAGCCTCCAGTGTTGCCATCTTTAAAGTCAACAGTGCCTTTCCCAGCTCAGGGCTCTAATGTCCCTGCAGCCTGCCATGGCTTTCAGCCTTTGGTCTGCAGCTGTCCTTAGAGGAAAAAGGAACTCTAGAGATGAGAAGGGACTGACAGTGACCCAGGGCTGGGACAGACATGTGGGCCCATGGTCTCAGATGATAGAAACTGCTCTACAGTCAGAGCATGGGGATGGGCACTTGCTAAGAAGTAACTGAGTTCTAGAGCTGGAGAGATGCCTGGAGGTTAGCAGCACTTGCTGCTATTGGAGAGGAACCAGGTTTGGTTCATAGCACCCATGTAGGGAGGCTCAGTGCCCCCTCTAACTCCAGCTCCAGGGTAGCCAATACCCTCTGGACCTCTGCAGGCATCATGTACACATCCACACACACACACACATACACACACAATTTTTTTTTTTTTAAATTGGGTTTCTAAACAATAAATTCTTTTGAGACAAAAATCTTCCTGTATCTCCCTGACTGGCTTGGAGCTTGCTGTGTAGACCAGGCTAGCCTCAGATTCACAGAAATCTGTCTGCCTCCACCTCCAGCACAGTGGGATTAAAGGTGTAGGCTACCACACCTGGCTCCATCTTAACCAGTTCTGAGTGTACAGCTGAGTAATGCTAGGTGTGCACACTGTTTCAAGGCCATCCTACTGGCCTTCTCAAGAACCTTATCCTAAATAAAATTCCACGTCCTTTATTTTAGTTTTTTACTTTTCATCTTGGTTTATTTTACTTTATGTGTATGAATGTTTTGCCAGCATGTGTGTCTATGCACCATGTGTGTGCCTGGTTTTTGTGGAGGCCAGAAGAGGGTATCAGATCCCTTGGAGCTGGTGTTATAAATGATTATGAGCCCCCACTTGGATGCTGGGCTTTGAACCCAGGTCTTCTGGAAGAGCAGCCAGAGCTCTTAAGAACTCAGTCACCTTTCCAGTCTCTCTCCAGCCTCTAAATACCAACTCCCATCTCTGCCTCTCTTTCCCCTAAATAAACACCTAGACACTTTGAAGAGAGGCATGGAGTAGCTTACTTGGGTTTGCTGATTACTCGTCTCCGTGTTTTGAAATCCACTTTGAACAAGTCATCTTGTGATTCATTCATGAATACTTGCATTTCATAGTGACTTTATTTGAAAAAAAAGACTTAGAATTTCCCCATTTTGTGCTCTTTTACATTTGCAGGTGACATAAAGGGCCAGCACACAGAGACATTGCTAGCAGGATCCCTCGCCAAAGCCCTTTGCTGTATCCTTATGCTAGTGTGTTCCAAAGCAGCCTTTTTTAGCGAGGGTGTTTAGCTGGTGGCTTCTCCAAGACCTTGTTCTCTAACACTCATGTGCAGTGGCTCCTTTGGCCCTTCAGGGTGTTTCCATGACTATCCGAAAAGCCTGGTGCTGCTTCTTAGTGAGGTATTGCTTTGTTTCTTTTGTTTTGTTTTGTTTATCTTATTTTAAGAATGAGTGTTTTGCCTGAGTATATCTCTGTGTACAGTGTGGGTGTCTGGAACATGTGGAAGTCAAAAGAGGGAATTAAATCCCCTAGAACTGGAGTTGCAGGTGGTTGAACCACCATGTAGATGCTAGGCACCGAGGTTGGGATCTCTGCAAGAGCAACCGGTGTTGTGCCTTGCTGAGCCATTTCTCCAGCTTCTTGCTTCTTACTCTGATAGTCTAGTACTTGCTTTAATCTTATTCCTTGAATTGCCATCTCTGGTACTGATTTTAAAAGTTGTTTACCAATCTCACGGTTTAATTAGTGAGTGGCACTGTGGGTGAGCAGGTGACCTGGCCCGAAGCACAGGGCAGCTAGACTCTTCCTGATTTCACGTGTCGTGGGCTCTCACTTCACTTTTGTGAAGTGTCTTTGAACAGTATTAAGTGCGTTTACGTCCTGGCGTTTTTATCCAGTTGTCCCGATCCTCTTTATGCCTTTCAAATTCATCATCTCGCTGGAGGGACCCACTGATTTGGGTGTGGCCCCAGTTTTGGTATCAGGGATGGTGGATGGTCAGCTGTCTGTCCTGTGGGCTTCAGTGCAGAGCTCATTCTTCCCTTGCTGAGTTCAGAATTGGGTACTAAACCCAGGCCCACCCATATGGCTGTCATGGCAGGAGATGGGAGGGGGCTGGCTTAAAGTCTGAAGGTCTGTTTTCCTATTAGTGTGGATGTTTGTGAAGCAGCATGTTTATTTTCCTTAATGTTAACAATCCAGATATTCACAGAGTGAGCAAGGCAGTTAAAGGTAGGAGCTGACTGTTTTGCAATTACCGCCCTTTGATTTTAGTGCTGCATGCTTGGTGGGGTATTTAAGAATTGTTGAGGCCGGGCATTGGTGGCGCACGCCTTTAATCCCAGCACTTGGGAGGCAGAGGCAGGCGGATCTCTGTGAGTTCGAGGCCAGCCTGGTCTACAGAGCTAGTTCCAGGACAGGCTCCAAAGCCACAGAGAAACCCTGTCTCGAAAAACCAAAAAAAAAAAAAAAAAAAAAAAGAATTGCTGAGGGCTGGCGTGATGGCTCAGCGGTTAAGAGCATTGCTTGCTCTTCCGAAGGTCCTTAGTTCAATTCCCAGCAACCACATGGTGGCTCACAACCATCTGCAAAGAGATCTGGTGCCCTCTTCTGGCCTGCAGGCATATATGCAGACAGAATATTGTATACTTAATAAATAAATTAAAAAAAAAAAAGAATTGCTGAACACTCAGAGGCAGGCAAATCTCTATGAGTTCAAGGCCAGCCTGGTCTACATAATAAGTTCCAGGCCAGTCAGGGCTGTAGAGTGAGATCCTTTCTCAAAATAATATAGAATAACAATTGCTTAGAAAACCATATACTTTTTAAGCTATCTTGTTTGTTAAATTATCTGTTTTTGTCTTTTTATAGATAATCAGGAGATGAAATCAAGGATATTGGTAAGGTTATACACAATTTAGATATAACTGCAGACAGGTGGAAACCATGGGAATGAGTCCAGGTGTGATGTCACAGACATTTAAATCCAGCACTGGAAGAGGGAGACTCAGGCTGATCTCTGTGAGTTGAAGGACAATGTGATCCTACATAGCAAGTTCCAGATCAGCCAGGGCTGCATAGTAAGACCCTGTCTCACAAAGCCATCTGGAAAAGCATTTTCAACATTGTTACTTTTATAGAAAATTAATATTTCTAAAATCAAGAGCTCTTGGGCCAGTGAGATGGCTCTGTGAGTAAAGGTGCCTAGCCTGATGACTTCAGTCCCCAGGGCCCACGTGTATGGAGAAAACTAACTCCCAGTGTTGTCCCCTGGCCTCCCAGTGCATGCTGGATACGCTGGACAGATGCCCATCAGTCTATCAAGGACCAGGACGGATCTGGTATCACCATTCACTTCGGGGGTTTAGTACTAAGTAGGAAGATAGACTGGAGAAGTGGCCCCGTCTTTGACTTGGAGCAGGTCATGTCCCAGTGAGTCCTGGGAGGTGCTTGAGGTCGAACAGCTGTGTTTGCAGGTGATCAAGGCTGCAGAGGACAGCGCACTGCAGTACATGAACTTCATGAACGTCATCTTTGCTGCTCAGAAGCAGGTGAGACATCAGCCTTCCTGATTTCTGAGAGAAATCCTCGGAGGCTGGGTGTGGTGGTGCATACCTTTCTGAGTTGGAGTCCAGGCTGGTCCATATAGAGAGTTCTAGGACATCCCGAGGCTCAAAAAACAAAACAAAAAACCCAAAAATGTGATCACTGTCATTCAGTGTGGTTCTGGTTGTGGCTTGGGGATTCAGAATCCACACAGGGTACCTGTCATCCTGGGTCCTTGCGACTGGGCGGTGTTCTCAGAACACTCCAGCTTGTAGCAGGTGTCATGCTGCTCATCCCGTTAGCCCACATGTGGCTAAGACTCTCGGGTTGGCGGTTTGATACAGGAACCCTCAGCTTTTCCATCTTTTGTATTTTTTTAATTTTTGGCAGTGTCATTTAACCCAAGACTTTTCACGTATGTGATGAGCTCTACGTGACCTGAGTGTCCCCAGGAGCTTCTTGTTTTGTGTTGAGACAGGTGGGCTCTTGCTAACTTGCCCAGGCTGGTGTCAGCTCCCTGCAGTCCACACAGGCCTGGAACTTGAGAAGCCCCTGTGTCAGTCTGCTGGGCAGCTGGCTAACGGTGTGCGCCATTCACCTACAGTTTTTCTTTTGATGCTAGTGTGGCATGTGCTGTGCAGATAACTGAGATGTTCGGATAACCTGATGCATCATCTTCATTCTCTGTTTTTTTTTTTAATGTGTCCAAGTGTTCTGCCTGCAGAAATATACATGCAACATGTGCACTTCTGGTGCCCGTAGAAGCCGCGGGAGGGTGGTAGAGCTGGTGGAACTAGTTACAGATGGTTGTTAGATAGGATGTGGGTGCTGGAAACTGAATCAGGGTCCTCTGGAAGGGCAGCCAGTGCCCTTAGCCACTGCACCATCTCTCCAGCCTCCTCTAAGCCTCAGTTGGAACATACAGCACCACTGGAGCCCAGTATTACCTTCAGTGTGGTGCATGTTGCAGTGAAAAGGGGTCAGGCTTTGGAGACAGGATTGGGACCTGGACTGGATGTTTCAGAAGCCAGTGTCCACCGTGCAGCATCACTGGACATGTTAAAGTACCCATTTTAGGGATAGAGTCTGATTGGACAAAATGGAGCACATCTCTACCAATACTAGGGAGGTGGAGGCAGGAGGATTAGCACAAATTCTATGTCAGTCTAGACTATAGAGTTGAGAACCTGTCAAAAAAAAAAAAGATAAAAGAGAATAGAGTCTAGCCGTCTGAGACAGCCATAACCATTGCTGTAATGTTTTAAATGCTCCTTTCAGAATATTCTCATCGATGCCTGCGTCCTAGACTCGGATTCCGGGCTTCTCCAACAGGTATGTTTCCAGGGGGTGTTTCTGGTTGTTTGTCTTGAGACAGGACCTCACTGTAGCTGTAGCTGGATCTGGACTCACAGAGGTCTACCTGCTTCTGCCTCCCGAGTGTGGAGATTGAAAAGTTTGTAACACCATGCCTCCCCCACTATTCAGTTTTCTAGGAAATAATTTAATTTTCGAGGAAAATGTAAATTCTGTACGTTGCATTATTTATATGTCTTGGGAATTACTGTTAGATGTTGTAGTCGTGCTTTCTCGTGGACCCACTAGCCTGCAAATAATGACATTGGGGACATTAATTATAAAAGCTCGACCTTAGCTTAGGCTTGTTCCCAACTAGCTCTTATAACTTAACATATTAATTTACATTCTGCCCTGTTCCTCATCTCCATACTTCCCATCCTGCTTCCTCCTCGTCTGGCTGGCACCTCTGCCTTTCTTCCCAGAGCTCGCTCTCTGCCCAGATCCTGCCTATACTCTCCTGCCCAGCTATCGGCTGTTCAGCTTTTTATTGCACCAATCACAGCAATACATCTTCACACAGTGTACAGATATCCCACTACAAGGTGTTGCTTTGGGGTTTGGGGGGGCAGGGGTGGTAAGATCTTACTCTAGCCCAGGCTGGGGTCACATTCATAGCAGTTCACCTGCTTTAGATGCTGCTCTTTGAGCAGAAGTTTGAAACTAAATCTTTTGATTTTACCAGAATGGCGAGGGTGTAAAGGTCACACACCTGAAATAATCAGCAAGCCATGGGTGACTGCCTTTTGCTCACAAGAAGTATTTCTGGGCCAGTGAGATTGCTCAGTGGCTAAAGGTGCCTGTGCCCAAAGCTGATGACTTGAACACATATGCTGGAAGGAGAGCACCGCTCCCTCAAGTTCTCCTCTGGTCTCCATTCGTGTGCCATGGCTTGCATATGTGTGCACACACAAATAATAAACGTAAAGACAATTGTTAATATCCCTTCCTTTCCCTTCAACATTTCCTTAAAGAGTTACGTCCTTGAAGATCAGTCATCAGTGAAAAGGGCTGGTGCTGGGCTGAGGGGAGGGAGCATGCGCAGGTCCGAGAGAGCTGCACTTGTCAGTTCTTGGGCTCAACTTGACAGTAGGCATGTGGTATTTTTTGTTTGTTTATTTTGTTTTTTTGTGTTTTGAGACAGGGTTTCTCTGTGTAGCCCTGGCTGTCCTGGAACTCGCTCTGTAGATCAGGCTGGCCTCAAACTCACAGAAATTCTCCTGCCTCTGCCTCCCAAGTACTGGGATTAAAGTCTTGTGCCACCACCACCTAGCCTGTTTTTTGTTTTTAATGCATAAGTGCATTTTAAGGAATTGTTTAAGATACCTAAGAATTCATTACATTTTATTTAAAATCTAGTATCCCTCCCCGTGAGGATGAGACACAGTGTAGGAGTTAGTCCTGGGTGTGGGCGCCATATGACATCAGTGCTTGTGTCTGTGTCATGTTCAGATGAGGGTGACTGCTGCCTCCCTCAGCTCCTCAGCCACCCTGGCTTTATGTAACTACACTGTTGCAGTTCCCATTGCCTTATGTATTAGGCTTTCAAGGTGACTTGATTTGCAGCTCTCAAAGGCTGTCTCGTTAACTTGGAGATAACTCTGGTTGAAAGCTGGCTCTGGCCCTGTCCCTCACCAGGATGCCTCGGTGCACATGCCATCGGCTCCTGGACCTCAAGTCACGGGCGGACAGAGCTCTGGCTTTTCTGCGCAGTGGCTTCTCCCAAACTCTGAGCCCTGTCTCTGAGCAGAGCATGGTTCACAGGGCAGCCACCCTGCTTTCCCTCTTTCTCTTCCTCCCTTTCCATACTGCTGTGATCTGGATGAATCTGTCCTCAGCACAGATGCTGAATCCCACTCCTGTCTTCTTTCCTAACTACCCCTTCTGTGGGGCTTGCAGACATCTGGGCTCTCTTAGCACACTCAGTCTGTCATCTTGGGAGTCAGAAAGATGCTGATGATGGCATAAGACAGGCCATGTTACTCCCTTGCTTAACTGCCCCCACCCCATCCCTAGCATCCCAGCACACTTTGGCTAATACCCAAGTCCTTGCCTTGGCCTTCTGTTCACTCCACATCTTCTCTTTTCCTGTGGACCCAAGGGTGGTGTTGCCTAAAACCATAGTTAACCTGGGCTGTTGTGGCCTAGTGCCTTGGCACTTCTCCCCTGCTACCTAGACTTGGCCCTTGCCTTCCCTCAGCTTTCCTTCCCCATCACCCACTTGATTGTCATGGAAATTAAAATCTATAACATCAGTTTTGTGCCCAGCAGCCCGATGTGCTCTTCTCCCTCCTCCCCCTTAAAACTAGCAAGGAAACTTTAAAGCAAAGCATTGGGAAGCTCATAATAGGCTGAATGGCACAGAGGGCAAGAGAATGATGCTGCCAGGGGCTGTCCTGCCTGTTGGCAGTGCTAGGAGCTCACCTGAGGAAGAGATACAGTAGCCTGGGAGTCTGGAGCAGAGCTGAGTGATCGTGTCTGTAGTATGGGCAGTAGTGAATACATGAACCTCACTGGAGCAGAGCTGAGTATCGTGTCTGTAGTGTGGGCAGGAGTGAATACATGAACCTCACTGGAGCAGAGCTGAGTATCGTGTCTGTAGTGTGGGCAGGAGTGAATACATGAACCTCACTGGAGCAGAGCTGAGTATCGTGTCTGTAGTGTGGGCAGGAGTGAATACATGAACCTCACTGGAGCAGAGCTGAGTATCGTGTCTGTAGTGTGGGCAGGAGTGAATACATGAACCTCACTGGAGCAGAGCTGAGTATCGTGTCTGTAGTGTGGGCAGGAGTGAATACATGAACCTCACTGGAGCAGAGCTGAGTATCGTGTCTGTAGTGTGGGCAGGAGTGAATACATGAACCTCACTGGAGCAGAGCTGAGTATCGTGTCTGTAGTGTGGGCAGGAGTGAATACATGAACCTCACACCAGCTGACTTAGAGACCTGTGGAGTCCTCATGAACCCCACTCCCCTGGGAATGCCAAGGTTCTGTGTTGTTCATGACCCCTCTGTCTTACAGGCTTGTGACATTACAGGGGGATTGTACCTGAAGGTGCCTCAGATGCCTTCCCTCCTGCAGTACTTACTGGTGAGTTATTGGGCCATCTCTAAAATACCAGGGTAGGAATTGCTGGGAGAGAATGGCTTCAGGGTTCCCAGGCTGAGAAGGGTAGGCTTCCAGGTCTTTGAACTCTGAAAGTTTTTGCAGATGTCATATGATTATATAGCAGAGTGGCGTGGGGCTGACAGCATGGCTCAGGGAGTAAGGGTGCTTGCCGCCAAGCCTGATGACCTGAGCTCAATCTCAGGATCTGTATGGGGAAAGGAGAGAATCACCTCCTACCAGTTGTCTTCTGCCTGCCATGTGTATGTGCTCACACACATACAAGTGCACAAATTAAATGAAAAATTAAAAAAAAAATTGTGGGATGAATAACAATGAATCTTAATAGGTGTTAAAGGAAATTATTATTTTGTGTATGTTACGTCCCCTGAGTGCATGTGGAGGGCAGAAGCCAACAGGCAGGAGCAGTTCTCTCCTACCAGTGTGGGCTCTAGGAATGGAACTCAGCTCATCCAGGCTTGCTCTCATGTACCTTTCCCCACTGAGCCAGCCATATAATCAGCCCCAGAGGACAGGCTCTAGTTAGTATTCTGGTGCTGATTGGCTAAGATCTGCTCTTGAGTGTGACGACTGGCTGAGCTCTGCTGTCTGTGTGATGACTGGTTAAGCTGTTGTCTGTATGATTGGCTAACGCTGCTGCTTGTCTGTGTGTGATGATTGGCTAAACTCTGTTGTCTGTGTCTGGACTGTTGCTGTTTTAAAAGTTCCTTGTAGGGGCTGGAGAGATGGCTCAGTGGTTAAGAGCATTGCCTGCTCTTCCAAAGGTCCTGAGTTCAATTCCCAGCAACCACATGGTGGCTCACAACCATCTGTAATAGGGTCTGGTGCCCTCTTCTGGCCTGCAGGCATACAAACAGACAGAATATTGTATACATAATAAATAAATATTTAAAAAAAAAAGTTCCTTGTATATTTTTTCTGTTTTTTGTTTATTTGTTTTTTTTTAAACAGTGGGTTTTTCTTCCGGATCAAGATCAGCGATCTCAGCTAATCCTCCCGCCTCCGATCCACGTGGACTACAGGGCTGCCTGCTTCTGTCACCGAAGTCTCATTGAGATTGGCTATGTCTGCTCCGTGTGTCTGTCCAGTAAGCTCACGTGTAGTTTTTCTTCTTGTCTCTGTTGGGGAATGGGGCAGCACAGAACGAAATCTGGTTTTCAAATCCTTATTTCCTTGTTTTTGTTTTGTTTTTTTTAAATTTTGAACAGTTTTCTGCAATTTCAGCCCCATCTGCACCACGTGCGAGTGAGTATCTTCACAGGTGCTGATGGGAGTGGGTTCCCAAGGACTTCCGAGCCCTGAAATGTTCTTCTCTCTCTATCGTTCCAGGACAGCCTTTAAGATCTCGCTCCCTCCTGTACTGAAGGCTAAGAAAAAGAAACAGAAGGTGGCCCTGTGATGAGCGATGTGCACGCGTTTCCCCTTCTTGCTGCCGCCTGCTCTCCCTGGAGGGCGCTGCTCTCATCCTGTGCTTGTAGGGTGGAGCTGACGTGCACCCCAAGCCTCCCATGTTCAATGGAAAGGGGACAAGCACAGGGTTAACACTTTCTGTCTGTTGCTTAGCAGAAGCCTGGTTCATCTGTTGTTGCTCTCTTCCTTGGGGCTGGGTGTTGAATCCCCGCCTTGCAGGTCCTCGGCCAGCACCCCACTGCTCCGCTGCAGCCGCCTGGGATTTTGTCCTTAGATTTGTCCTCCGTCACAGCTTATCATCTACATTCTGGGCTTTCTGTACTAAAAGATGGGCAGTGAGTGAAGTTGGAATGCCACTCGGGAAGGTGACCAGCATTGGGTCATCATCAGTCATGACAAAGCATCTTGGTTGGACTGGTGTGCACATGCCTGGAATCCTGGGTCAGGAAGGTTTGGAATTCAGATCCTGCCTGTCTTTTAAGAAAATGAACATTTTATATCAAATAAGTTGTTTCCTTTAACTATATTTAAATGTAACCTGACCTAAAGGCATAAGCCTTCAATCCCAGCACTCAGGGTGCAGAGATTGAGGCCAGCCTGGTCTACGCAGTGAGTTGAAATCAATCAGGGTTGCATCTTGCCACTTCATTTACAAAAACAAACCAAACCAAACCAGTAGTCAGTGTAGGAGACCTGCTGACTCGAGGCTCCCCGCAGCTGTTAGCTGTTCTGTATTTGTCTGGTATGCCCTCATATTTGCACAGAGTTAACCAAGATTATTAGTAATGGTTTTCAACAAAAATGTATAAAATCTGAATTTAAATATACAAAAGGAGCAATCGCAGGGGCTGTGGTAAAGGTTGTCAGAGACACACGCGAGGGAAGAGTTTGTCGCCTGGGGTCAGAGCCACCTCATGGGGAAAAGGAGCTATCTAGAGGTATAACCCTGTCATTTTCTAATAGAATAACATTAATGTTGGAGAACTGTTGAATACTAAAATGTAAATGAGTTTAATCGAAACACTTGTAATTTCAACAATAAAAATTCTATTTTTATATTTACTAATTTTCTTAAAGTATTTTTCTAGATATTTTCATTAGTTTTTTCGAGACAGTTTTTCTGCATAATAGCCCTGGCTGTGTTGGAACTCACTTTGTAGAACAGACTCACAGAGATCCTCCTAAGTGTTGGATTAAAGGCGTGTGCCACCACCACTCAGCTTGCATTGAGCAGTTTTTGTTTTTAATTACTAAAAGCTTTCTTGAGAACACTGACCTTCCAGAGGACCCAGGTCCAGTTCCCAGCACTCAGGAAGCAGCTCACAACTATTTGTTGCTCCAGTTCCAGGGCATCAAGTGCCCTCTCCTGGCATCCACATGCACCAGGCACAAACATGGTGCACAGACGTGCATGCATGTGTAAACAACTGTACACAAAGAATAAAAATCTTAAACCCAAACAACAACACAAATCAGCAGGCTGGCATGATAGCTCAGCAGGTACTGTGACCTGACTCATCTCCAGGGCCATGTTGGGGGAGGACAGAACTGACCCCTGAGTTGTCTCCATTCGGGCCCATTTGGGACTGAGGAGCTGGTGCCTGGAGGGCCTACATATAAAGGTGGCAGGGGCAAGTGCAGGTGCCATTTCTTCCAGCTGTTGCTGTGTGGGCCGCTGCCGATCACGGACCTCTGCCTGAGGTGACAGAAGTCCAAGCCAGTTAGCCGTGGCTAATGGATAATGACAGTGGGAGTGGAAACATCCATGGGCCACTAGCTGTCTTTGAAGGGGGAGGACCATGTTACTCCACTGATTGTAGGTGTGTGCCACCACTGCCCAGATTGAACTAGCCTTCACCACTGGAGGGTTTTCCATGACACTGGCTGCCTGCTTTTGAGGCAGTGAACCGTTTTTGGCTGGGATTGAAGGAAACACAACACGGCCTGGGTCAAACGAAGAAATATACAGATTTTGAATATGGTAACTAGGCAAGAGGCACCTTGGGCTAATTCTAAGGTTCTCTGGCTTTGCTCATAGTGCATTTGGTGTTACCATAGAGAAAACACGAGATGCAGTTGATGGCCTTACACAGGAGTCTGCAGGGCCATGACTGGGATGCTGTGTAAATATACAGTGGTCTTCCAGGAATGGCAAGCGGTAGCCTGGCAGAACTAACGTAAGCCTGGCAAACTAGTCTTTAGGGTTCTTAAAAGTTACAGACCTGGGACCTAAGATACCCCTCTACTCCCCTACCCATGTTCTGATACTAATAGGTTTTACTTCATGTGTATGATTGGTTGCCAGGAAGTATGTGTATTTGCACCATGTGCAAGTAGTGACTAAGGACGCAAGAGCCTTAGGGCATCAGATCCCCGGGAAGTGTAGTAACAGGAAGTTGTGAGTTACCACGTTGGTGCTGGGAACCGAATTGTGATCCTCTGTAAGAGCAGCAAGTGCCTGAACTTCTGAGTCATCTCTCCAGACCCTCAATGTGGTTTCTAGAAGTCTGGGATGGAAAGAACCTATGATATCCATTGAAAGTAGGGAGCTGGAAAAGCAAACAAGGTCTGGTGGGCAGGGCGAGGATCGGAAAGCAGGCGCTCTTGCACTGGACCAATCATGGAACGCTGCTGCCCGATTGGTGGTTGCCATGGCTACTGGTACTTTCGCTAGACACGTAAAGCAGACTCTCTTGACCTAGACCAATCACGACATGCCCATCACCGATTGGTGGTTGCCATGGCTGCGGGCTCTCAGTTTGGCAATATGGCGTCGGCCGGGCGGCTAAGACTGCCGCTTTTTCTCCTCTGGAATATTGCAGGCTTGTGAATCAGACGCGTTCTTGGCATGGGCTCTCTGTCGCTACTCGGCCTCCTGTGGGGATTTCTCCTGCTGCAGGACGTCCTGAAACCGCTGCGTGGGGACCCGGGTGTGTATGGCGTGGTATGGCCTGCATGGCCCAGCCTAAGGGAACCTGGGGCTCCTAGGATTCTGGAAACCAGGACCACGTAAAAAGCCAGCACACGCAGCCCAGGCACAGGTTCTGCAGTAGCTAACCCCACCCCGCACCCTTCCTTCTCTCCTAGTTTTTATCCCATCTTTCATACGAATGTCCAGCCCTGAGGTCAGCGCGTCCCTGGTTGGAGGCAGTGAGGATGTCACCGTCTCTCTGATTCCGTTGCATGTCGAGAAAGGTAAGAGTCTGGCTTTTCTTGGAAGCGTGGGTGCTGTCCTCAGCAGAGTGGGGGTGGGGAAGAAAGGCAGTATCTTTGTGTTGTAGAACAAAGAGGTCCTGTGGACAGGTTCTGGAAATGGGACCTTGAAATAAAAGTGGCCAACAAGCCGGGCATGGCAGCACACGTTTTTAATCCAGCACTGAGGAGCCAGAGGCAGATAGATCTGTGAGTTCCAAGCCAGCCCGGTCTGCTTAGTGAGGTGTTTTTGTTTTTGCTTTTGTTTTCCAAATAAAAAATTGACCAGTATTCATTGAGATAGCCCCCTGGGTTTTCCACACAGCATCTCAGGGTTCTCATAAGAACAGCAGGGCCACCAGGCAGTGGTGGCGCACGCCTTTAATCCCAGCACTTGGGAAGCAGAAGCAGGCGCATCTCTGTGAGTTTGAGGCCAGCCTGGTCTACAAGAGCTAGTTCCAGGACAGGCTCCAAAGCCACAGAGAAACCCTGTCTCGAAACAACAACAACAACAACAAAAAGAATGGTAGCATCTCTTTATCCCATTGGCAAATGAGGAGACATACTGCTTGGCCAGTCTTGTTTAGTGTCTGTGGAGATTCCCACCCTAGGACTCTCGACCCCTTAGCTGCCGGACTCTGATGACTTGCGTTCTAATTTTCCCCTTAGGAGTGTTGCCAGTTCCTACTTGTGGTGGTCTCAGCAATGAGACGGGAGATTGGAATATTACTGTGAGCCCCAGTGTGGTAAGACCTGAGACAAAAGCTCTGTTGCATCTGTAGAGGCCTCTTGTGTAGGCTTTGTGCAGGTGTGTGTGTGTGTGTGTGTGTGTGTGTGTGTGTGTGTAGCTGGGGATCAAACTCAGATCCTGTCAGCTCCCAGATGTTCTTGTGATCTGACATTCCACGCTCCATGAAAGTGGAATTTTCCTTGGGCCACCAACCAACTCCCAGATAAAGACTTATTAATGATATGAATGCTCAGCCTCCGCTTACACTTCTCCCACTGGCTCTTCTAACTTAATCTAACCTGTACATAGTCATCTGCATTCTGCCTCAGGGCTTTTTACCTTTCTTTCATTCTGTATGTCTTACTATGCCCTACTTTCCTGCTTCCTCTGTGTCTGCCTGGCCTCTCTTTCTCCCCACCCCCAGCCTGAATTTCTTCTGCTTACTCTCCCTGCCCAGAAGTCCTGTCTATGCCTCCTCTCTCGCTATTGGCTGTTCAACTTTTTATTAGATCAGTCAGGTGCCTTAGGCAGGCAAGGTAAAACAGCAACACATCTGTATGTGGTTAAACAAATATTCCTCAACATAAATAAATGCAGCACGTATTTGCATAGTTAAATATTCTGCAACAGTTCCATATTCAATATTATCTGGAATTATCTGGAATTGTGGGCTATCAATGTAGATCCCCTATCTAGCATGAAGTTCCTGCCTTAGCGTTAATGGTGTGTTTGGATGTGTTACAGGTAGAGATTCAGACATATAGGACAGCCTGCTTTACATAGTGAGACCTTATCTAAAAGAGAAAAACAAGCTAGGCAGTGATGGTGCACGCCTTTAAACCCAGCTCTTGGGAGGCAGAAATCTCTGTGAGTTTGAGGCCAGCCTGGTCTAGAGAGCGAGTTTCCAGACAGACACCAAAGATACAGACAAACCCTGTCTCGAAAAACCAAAACAACAACAACAAAACAGATCAAAACGAAGTAAAAAGCATGAAACTTATTTATTTATCATTTATTTATTTATTTGAGACAGGGGTTCTCTGTGTAGTTTTGGAGCCTGTCTTGAAACTAGCTCTGTAGACCAGGCTGGCTTTGAACTCACAGAGATTCACCCGCCTCTGTTTCTGAAGGGCTGGGATTAAAGGTGTGTCCCACCACCACCTGTCTAGGCACTAATTTTGTTTTAGACTTATGAGATGAGGCATCTCCTACTGAATGAATGTTTACCGTGGACTTAGTGTGGGTGTGAGAGATACGCAAGTGAGAAAGACTGCTTTAGGGATGGACGCTTAGCAGGTCAGGGCCACCCTGAGAGGAGCGGAGCTGTTCCCATCTTCTGCCTCAAAAGTCTTCTCAGCGAACTGACTTCAAATACTGGACCTGTGTTGACCTTTCTCTTAAGTGTCCAGAAGTTGTTTGCTTTTATGTTTAAGATGAGGATAAGGGGGAGGGGAGCCAGAGAGATGCTTCAGTGGTTTCTCATGTTCTTGCAGAGGACCCAGGCTGGTTCACAGACATCCACACTGGCAGAACCCCCGTGCACATAATATAAAATATATATATTTAGTTTTATATTAAAACACACACATATATATATGTGTATATATATATACACACACACACACACAGTCTTAGGGTTTCTTTTTTTTTTTTTTTAAATTTATTTATTATGTATACATATTCTGTCTGCGTGTATGTCTGCAGGCCAGAAGAGGGCACCAGACCTCATTACAGATGGTTGTGAGCCACCATGTGGTTGCTGGGAATTGAACTCAGGACCTTTGGAAGAGCAGGCAATGCTCTTAACCACTGAGCCATCTCTCCAGCCCAGTCTTAGGGTTTCTATTGCTATGAAGAGACACCATGACCACAGCAACTTTTATAAAGGAAACATTTAATTGGGTGGCTTACAGTTCAGAGGTTTTGTCCATTATCATCATGGTGGGTCATGGTCATAAGCAGGCAGAAATGGTGCTGGAGAAGGAGCTGAGAGTTTTATATCTTGATCCAAAGGGAACAGGAAGTGAATTGAGACACGGGGCATGGCTTCAGGATATGAGACCTCAAAGCCTAACTCCACAGCGGCACACTTTCTCCAACAAGGCTACACCTCCTAACAGTGCCACTCCCTATGAGCCTATGAAGACCAATTACATTCAAGCTACCACATATGTATATGTATGTGTATGAGTAAGATTAGGAAACGGGGATGGAATGGTGGGGCACAGCTTTAGTCCCAGCACTTGGGAAACAGAGTCAGGTGGATCTCTGTGAGTTTGAGGTCAGCTTGGTTTACATGGCAAGTTCAACACCAGCAGAAGTACACAGTGAGATCCTGACTCAAAAAAGAAAAAGAAAATTTGGACGTGGAGTTGTGTAGATGGCTCGGCGGTTCAGAGTTCTTCCAAGAGAAAGAGCCAGAGGCCAGTTCTTAGTGCCCACACAAGGTGGCCAACAAACACCTGCAACTCTAGCTCCGGGACATCCTGCATTCTTTTTTTAAAATAATAATTTATTTTTATTTTATTTACATTGCTGTTTTGGGAGGGTGTCAGATCCCCTGGAACTGGAATTACAGACAGTTGTGAGCTGCCATGTGGTTGCTGGGAATTGAACCTGGGTCCTCTAGAAGAGCAGCGAGTGCTCTTACCCTCTGAGCCATCTCTCCAGCCCTAAGCATCCAGCATTCTTTTTGGGCCTCTCTTGATACCTACACACACACACACACACACACACACACACACACACACACAGAGCATTTATACATATAAACACACACATAAGTAAAAAGGAAAAATTTTAAAAATCAGGAATTAGTCAGGGAATATGGTTCAGCTGGTAGAGTGCTTGTCTAGCCTGTGTGAAGCCCTCAGTTCAGTCCCAGCAACAGTCACGTGCATGTATGTATACACACACTGAATAACGAAGGTAATCATGAGGGGGTCCGGAGCTTGGGTACCACTGGAAGTGAAGAGAAGGCTGCTGTCTTTGTATCACCAGTTCTCCTTCTGTCAGTTGAGCCATCTTGGTAAAACGATGCAAGGCTCATGTGTGAGTTTACAATGTTTTCTGCTTCATGTTCTCATCACTAGAGATGCTCACTGTGAGACACTTTAAAGGCACAGCCATGTTTTCCTTCCAGAACGCACTGGAAGTGACGGTCCGGTGGAAGAGGGGCCTGGACTGGTGCTCCTTAAACGAGACTGCCTCCTTCTCGGAGCTTCCATGCCTCGTGCAGACACTGCTGGTTTCGGCATCCCACAATGCATCCTGTTTAGCACATCTGCTCATTCAGGTGGAGATTTATCCCAATGCGTCTGTGACCCACAATGCATCAGGCAAGTGATGTCTGTGGACAGATACTAGACGTGGCTCTATGTTGTTATTTTGTGGTTGTTTTTGTTTGTTTGTTTTGAGACAGGATCTCATTATGTAGCTCGAGTTGGTCTAGAACTCACTATGTAGAACAAGTTGTCCTTGAATCACAGAAATCTGCCTGCCCCTGCCTCTTGAGTTAAGTTTTGTTTTTAAATTTGTATGTATGTATGTATGTGTGTGTGTGTGTGTGTGTGTGTGTGTGTGTGTGTATGTATGTATGTGTATGTGTGTTTGGGTGAATATATGTGTGCCATGTATGTGCAGTACCCCGAAGAGACCTGAAGAGGGCATCAGATCTCAAGTACCTGGAATTCCATGCAGAACCTCGGTCCTCTGCAAGAACAGTGGGTTCTCTTAACCACTGAGCCATTTCTCCACTCATGGAGACTCAACTTTTGAGTCTTCCCTGGCTTCTTTAATGTACTATTTTTGTTTGTTTGCTTTTGAGGTTTTTTACTTTGTATCATTTTATTTAGTTAAGATCTAGCCAAGCAACTGGTGGCACACACCTTTAATCCCAGCACTGGGGAGGCAGAGGCAGGTGGATTTCTGTGAGTTCAAGGCCAGCCTGGTCTACAGAGTGAGTTTCATAACAGTCAGAACTATATAATGAGACCTTCTCTCTCTCTCTCTCTCTCTCTCTCTCTCTCTCTCTCTCTCACACACACACACACACACACACACACACACACACACTTATCTGGCTCTCCTGACGTACCTTTTGTAAGCCACTTTAAGTCCTTTTGGGGAGAAGGTAAAATTTGTTTCCTTGCATCGATCCCCATGTCTCTGCTTAAGAAACTATAATTGAACCAACACTGATGGAGGCGGGCCAGCTTTCTCAGTGTGACTCGGAAGGTACAGCACTCCTCCTCCTCTCCTGCCGTTAAGACAGCCGGCCGAGCCTGAGCACACAATCTCTATGGAGCTGCTGGGCCACCACGTGGCCAGCCTCTGTACTCGCTCAAATGACTTGTCTCTCTCTCTCTCTCTGAAGCTCACACCTATGAATCTATAATAAACTTCTTTTTAAAACTCAGAGAGAGAGACTGTGGGTGCAGCTCATGTGGGAGGGTGCCTGCCTATCACACAAAGCATGGGTTCAATTCCCAGTACTGCAGAAACTGAGCAAGGTCATGTTTGTCTGTAATCCCAGCACTGGGAGGCGGGCGCTGGAGAATCAGAAAATCCAAGGTCATTCTTGGTTACACAGTTAAGTTTGAGGACAATCTGAGCTACATAATACCATGTTTCTTAAATAAAAGGCGTGGGGGATGGCCTGCTATAACAAGTGCTACCACCATGGTTCTCTTGCCTGCAGCACACTCCAGCATCTCTTGCCTGAGTAGCTATGGCTGGCCTTGATCTTCCCTGGGAGCCAAGGTTAGCCTCTACTTCAAACCATCCTGCCTCGACTGAGGGCTACGATCATGGGTGGGCACTACAATGCCCTAATTTCTACTGGTATTTTGAGGCAGAGACTCACATAGCCCAGGATGACCTGGAGTTCACTGTGTACCTGAGGCTAGCCTGAATCATGACCCTCCTGCTTTTGCCTCCCAAGTGCTGGGATGACAGGCATGAGCCACACATTCAGCTCAAACACTTATTAAAGGAAGAAAAAGAAATCTTTCTGAAGAAAACAGTGGTTTTAGTTTTAGAGGTTTTTGTTGTTGTTTGTTTTTTAATGCTTAAAATTCAGAACAAACCAAGAAGATATTCAGTGTGTCCTCAGAAAATCTGGAGAAGGGAGCTGGAGAGATGGCTCAGTGGTTAAGAGCATTGCCTGCTCTTCCAGAGGTCCTGAGTTCAATTCCCAGTAACCACATGGTGGTTCACAACCATCTGTAATGAGGTCTGGTGCCCTCTTCTGGCCTGCAGGCGTACATGCAGACAGAACACTGCATACTAATTAATAAATAAATCTTTAAAATAATAATAATAAAAAGAAACATAAGGTAGAATGCCTGGCATGATGGGGCATACCTGTAATCCTAGTTCTTTGGAGGCAGAGGCAGGTGAATCTCTGTGAGTTCAGGGGCAGCCTGGCCTATATAGTGAGACCCAACCAAAACCACCACCTAAGGTGAAGAGAAAACACCTGACATGAGTCTCTGCTTCCACACACGTGCACATGTGCAGACACACATACACATGCATGTACACGCACACGCATGCACGCACACCCTTACACATTGTGATTCAGCCTTTTTGTGAATCTCAAGAACTGTCCATGCTTTTCTTCATAGCTGAACCTTTTCTGCCGTATGTGCTTTTCAGATAACATGACCGTCATCCCTAACCAAGTCTATCAGCCTCTGGGTCGCTGCCCTTGCGACTTGACAGCCAAGGCCTGTGACATTCGCTGCTGCTGTGACCAAGTGAGTTCTTTCTGTTTGCCCGGCTACCTGAGGGCATTTGGGACAACAGTCGCCCCTAGCAGCTTTGGATAGGTGACAACAGAGATTATATTTCATTTTACAAATCATTGGTTTTTTTATTTCTAAAGATTTATTTATTTTTATGTGCATTGGTGTTTTGCCTGTGTTTATGTCTGTGTGAGGGTGTCAGGTCCCCTGGAACTGGGGTTACAGACACTTGTGAGCTGCCATGTGGCTGCTGGGAATTGAACATGGTTCCTCTGGAAGAGCAAACAGTGCTCTCAACCCCTGAGCCATCTCTCTAACCCTGTTTTTTGTTTTTGTTGTTGTTGGTGTGTTTGTTTGCTTGTTTTTTCAGATAGGGTCCTGTGCAGCCCAAGCTGGCAGAGGGAGTAGCCTTGAACTCTTGATCCTCCTGCCTCTATCTCCAACCAGAAAACTGTGTTTGAACTGAGTATTTTCTCTTCTAGTATTGTTTGTGCACTTTGTGGAGGAAAGAGAAAAGAATATGTCTTTGGATAAAGTCACATTTGGAAAGCTATATGATTTTACTACATTTGTTTTCAGCATATGGTGTGGTGTGGTGTGTTTGTGGGCATTATAGAGGCTTAGCCCACAGTGCACATGTGAAGGTCAGGGAACAACTTGAGGTTCCAGAATCAAGCCTAAGTTGTCACCTTTGGCAGTAAGCAGCTTTGCATGCTGAGTCACATGGCAAACACACACACCCTCCTCTGTGTGTGTGTGTGTGTGTGTGTGAGAGAGAGAGAGACAATGTCTCACTGTGTAGCCTCAGATTCTTAAGACAGTCCACCTTCCTCAGCTTCCCTGAGTGCCAAGTTTGTAGGCACAAACCTCGACACCTGTTCTATCTATCTATCTATCTATCTATCTATCTATCTATCTCTTTTTCTTTCACCTGCCTCCTCTGAGTGCTGGAATTAAAGGTGTGCACCACACCGTCCAGCTCCATACCTGCCTGGTTTCTAATACATATCATAAAATGTTAAATTTGAGAGAAATGAGAATGTTTGTTAGTACCCATGGTGTCCCAATTTTGCACAAATAAGAATGCATGTGGTTTTTTGTTTGTTTGTTTGTTTGTTTGCTTCTCCCCCTGGGAAAATGCAGTGTTTTGGTGTTTTTGTTCATTTGCTTTGATTCTCACTGTATAATGTTGGTTAGTCTGTAACTAGCTCTGTAGTCCAGGCTGGCCTCGAACTCACAGTTATCCCCCTGCCTCTGCCTCCTGAGTGCTGGGAGTAAAGGCATGCGCCACCACCGCCCGGCACTTAGTTGTTTTGCGATAGGGTCTCATGTAGCTGCGGATAACCTTAACTCCTGATTCTCTTCTGCTTCCACCTTCCAAGTACTAAAATGACAGATGTTTGCTACCATGCCAAGTAAAACAACCCTTCACCCCGCCCCCAGCGATATGTAATGTCACCCCCCCCCATATGTGATATCTAATTTTGATCTTTTGAGAGGTAAACACACACCAGGGAACACATCACCATAGCGCTGGGGAGGTGGAGGCAGGAGGGTCAGGGGCTACACAGTTCAGCAGCAGCAACTTCAGATTATAGGGTGGCCTGGGGTACACGAGACCCTCAAACAAAAGAAATGGCTGTCAGAAAAACCTGTCCGCAGTGTCTTTGTGTTAGAGTGACATGCACCGTGTGTCACTATGGTCCACCGCCATCGGTGTATTTACATAATCAGGTGGCAGGCGACACATGGCACTGTCAGGCTGTACCCAGCCTGTCACTAACAGTGATGTAACCTCCTTCACTCCCTGCTGGTTGTATTGTATATTCTATTAGCCGCTACTGTTAGGATTTACCACTCTACGAGCAAGTGTGGTACCACTCCGGTGAGCCTCGCTCCGGGGAGGTTAAACCTGAGAATCGTCATGAACGTGAAGCTGGCCTGGTCTGCATAGTCAGGCTCTCTCATGACAGAAGAGCAGGGCCAAATGTGGTGGTGCCCATGTATGCACAGGCATGCATGTAGGCAAAACACCCACACACAAAAAATAAGCATTACTTTAAAAAAAAATTCCCAGTCTGCATAGTTAGTCCTAGTCAGAGCTTCTCAGTGAGACCCTGCCTCTAAATAACTAAGAAACCAAAAGGCAATAGTGGACAGAACATGGTGCTCATGCCTAACCTCAGCACACGGGAGGCAGAGGCAGGGGGATCTCCGTGACTGTGAGGCCATCTTGGTCTACCCAGTGAGTTCCAGCCAGAGAGCCCTTGTCTCAGATGATAAGTAGACACACACCAAACATATTTGTGTCAATGATGTCTTCAGATGGCCCCAACTTATATTTTATGCACGATGTTAATTTTGAGTTTGAGGTCCTGGGATTGAATGTAGGCCTCACACATCTGAGGATCCCACTGGGTAATGCACCCAGCTCTTCTCTGTTCCTTTTTAAAATTTGAGACAGAGTCTTGCTAAGTTGCCGAGGCTGGTCTTGAACTTTTGATCCTCCTTCCTCAGATTCCTGAGTAGCTAAGATTATACACCTGGCTCTTATTCTTTTTTGGTGTGAGTGTGGTTTTTTGAGAAAGGGTTTCTCTGTAATAGCCGTGGCTGTCCTGGAGCTTGCTCTGTAGCCCAAGCTAGTCTCCAGCTCACAGAGTTCTACCTGCCTCTGCCTCTCAAATTCCGGAATTAAAGACGTGTGCCACTACCACCTGGCTTGAGGCTTATTCCTTTGAAGGCTGGAAGTTTCTGCCTGGGACTTCACTAGGGAGTTGACTAAGGAACTGTGTGTGTGTGTGTGTGTTGTTGTTGTTGTTGCTCATGAATGCACACATTTATAGAAGCCCGAGGACAACCTTGGATGTTATGCCTTAGGATCGTGCATCCTTCTTTCTTTGGAGACAGGACTCCTCACTGAACCTGCAGCTGGCAGAGTAGGCTAGGCTGGCTGTCTAGTAAGCCCCAGGGATCCCCCTCTTTCTGTCTCCCCAGGACTGGAATTATAATCATGGGCCTCCACACCTGGCCTTTCTATGGAGGTCCTTGAAGTTGAACTCAGGTCCTCATGCTTGTGTGGCAAGCATTTTTACTGACCGTGCCTCCCCCACATCCCCAAGGAGATGGGGACGTATTGCTTTCTCAGCTACGGGGTTGCAGGCTGGTAGCATCAGAGAGCAAGACGTCATGCTTGCTGCAAGCTGTGCCTAGTGTCACAGTGGGAGCGCATGCGCCTTCACTGCCCTTTTGTCTGTTTCCAAGGACTGCCAGCCAGAAGTAAAGGAGCTGTTCCAGCAGTCCTGCTTCTCCGGTGTGTTTGGAGGGGACGTCAACCCTCCCTTCGACCAGCGCTGTGCTGTGGGCACCACTCACGAGACCCCGGACTGGTTTCCTTTCCTGTGTGTGCAGTCTCCCCCCTCCACCTCGCCTTTCCTCGGTTACTTCTATCATGGTGCCATGTGAGTAGCCGCTGCCTGGAGGGACCTGTTTCTAGCACCACCAGGTTTCCTCCACTTGGCTTGGGTCACATTTCTTCTCAGTACCTTAAAAAAGTCATATTGGTTTGCAGTTAGTGAGGCCATTTCTCCCAAAGTGTTAGAAAGAACTGAGAACCCAGCAGATGCAGCCAGCAGTTGGCAGTGACTTTCCAGCATAAAGGAAGGGTGCCAAGGGCCCAAAGGGCCTTGAACTTTCTGTGTTTTATACTTCAGTATCATGTTGAAATTGTTGTTGTGGTTTTTGCTGTTGTTGTTTGGAGACAGGGTTTCTCAGTGTAGTCCTGACTGTCCTGGAACTCGCTCTGTAGACCAGGCTGGCCTTGAGTTCAGAGATCCTCCTGCCTCTGCCTCGTGAGTGCTGGGATTAAAGGCGTATCCTGCTGTTGTCACTGTCACTCCCACCCACCGAAGAATTTATGACTATGATCTTTGTAAATAAAAAAAAAAAAAAACGAAGAGCTGGGGTTGGTGTTGTATTCCTGAAACCCCAGCAATCAGGAGGCAGAGACAGGAGGATCAGGAGTTCAAAGTCATTCTTGGCTATATAGAGAGTTTGAGGCCAGCCTGGGCTATATGAGACACATAGCAAAGCAGAGAGGAAGCATTACAGGGTGATTTGTTTCTTAGCAGATCATTGTTGAACTATTATCAATCATATTTTTATGGTGTTGGGGTGGAACCTCAGCCTATACATAGGCTAAGCAAACCCCTGCAGGCCTGTGGATAATCTCTCTTGCGGACTTGCAGTTCCCCCAGACGTGACCCCGCCTTTGAAGCCCATCTTCACCTTGACCTAAGGGACTTTGCTGATGCTGGCTACAAACAAGGAGATCCCATCATGACCACAATGGGGTATTTTACCGTCCCTCAGGTAATGCCTTCCATTTCCACATTTGGATTCAAGTAGTGTCCGTCCTAAGCAGCTGGTCTTCCTCCTGTGCATCAACTACTAATAGTCTCTAGACTGAACCGACTTTCTTAACCCCTCTTCACTAATCACAGCGTGTATATCATCACAGGAATAGTCTCTATGGAGACTCCTTGGAGGCGGTGGTCAGTTTCCACCTCATCCCCTTTCATTGTTTCGTGGTTTTGTGTTGCTGGGGCTGGTACTGAGGGCCTTGTGTGTGCCAGTCAAGGGCTCCACCACCAGGCTACATCCCCAGCCGCAGCAATTTCTAAGAAGCTAGAAGTATGTGACTGTATAACATTTGGAATGTCGAAACATCCTTTCAGGTTAGAGAGTCTGATGTGAAATCTTGGTTTTTTTCTAACTCCGTCATCATTAGGAGACCATGCCCGTGGGAGGAAAACATGGGATTCATGACAGTTTATTATTTCTGTAAACCTTTTATGTTATTGAAGCTGTTGGGGGTCAGGAGGGGATGCTTAGCAGTATAGTTTATGGTTATGCCTGGCTTTCCCGTCTCCCTCAAAATTCAGGCTGTGAGGCCGGGTGATGGTGGCACACGCCTTTAATCCCAGCACTCGGGAGGCAGAGGCAGGCGGATCTTTGTGAGTTCGAGACCAGCCTGGTCTACAGAGCTAGTTCCAGGACAGGCTCCAAAGCCACAGAGAAACCCTGTCTCGAAAAACCAAAAAAAAAAAAAAAATTCAGGCTGTGATGAGAAGAACTGAGGTTGAATATAATCGTGACTTTTTAGTGGAAGGGCCAAGGACCTTCCCCGAGTATTTTAGAGAACACTTCTATGAGTAGTGGCTTCCAGATCTTGGCTCCCTAAAGTCGCGGTCACCTTGAGTACTAACTGTTGACATCATCCAGCAATAGCAATGGGCAGCAGAGAGCAACGTGGGGTAGAGTGGCATCGAAATAGGGTCTCATTGTAGCGTAGCCTGGTTCTGAATTTAGTGCAATCCTGCCTGGACCCCCCAAGTCCTGGGATTGCAGACTTAAGCACCACGCTTGACAGACAGAATGTTTTTAAGACAGGAAGAAGTCGGTGTACCATATTGGTTCCTCGCCCCTAGGTCTCCCTGGCTGGACAATGTCTGCAGGATGCTCCAGTGGCTTTCCTGAGGAATATTGATATTAAATGTACCATCAATCTGGAAGTGCACCGAGAACGAGATGGCACCGTCCCTGAGAATGTGAAGATTCGCACGGTGGGAGGTAGGCTGCCTTTGCGGTTAAAACAGTATGTAAGCCTCTGGCTCTGCATCCATGATGGCTCCTCTGTTGGTTGAGGATGGTTTTTTCCACGAGAAAAGTTCAGTCTGACTGGACAGCACCCTGTACATGTGGTTGGTGTTTTCCTCTCTGCTCTGGGCACTGAGTCCCTTCCCCTCCTCAGGTCTCTATTGTGACTTAAGTCAGATCTCCATCCTGTGCACCCTACACACCTGAGGAGCCCCAGGCCTTTCAGTACCAGCAGAGGGAGCTGGTGTTTTCTGTGCAGTGAGCTACTGAGCTCTTGTCTGTCCCTGCACTTCACATCAGCACATCAGCGGGGCCATTGCTTTGCTGCTGGCTCCCCCTGAACAAAGGATGGAGACACACTGTGACTGCAGCCATGGGGAGGCTGGCTAGTCTGTGGGTCTCTACAGGCGGGCTCACGGGCTCTCAGCATCCAAGAGGAAGTTACAGTTGCTAGTCTCTGCACACACAGATGAACAGTTCCTAAACACGCCTACTCATTCTTCTTTGGAGCTGGCCCATACGAGTAATGGCTTTGCTAATTTCCTATGGGCCAATTGGTCTCGGAGTCCAAGCTCATGTCAAAGTACACACTGACTCAGGATCTCATGCACATACACACACACACATACCCGCCCCACCTCCTCTGCTGCTGCACTTTGCTCTGTGGCCTTCACATCTGACTTCTTTCACTTAGCATCATCTTTTTTGTTTTTCAAGACAGAGTTTCTCTGTGTATCCCTGGCTGTCCTGGAACTCAGTCTGTAGAACAGGCTGACCTTGAACTTAGTGTGTGCCAACTTCTGCCTCTAGCGTGCTGGGATTGAAGGTGGGCACCACCACTACACACCTTTACGTTAGCATAATCTTTTGAAAGCATATGTCTGTGCCACATGACTTATTTACTTTGTTTTAGGGCCAAGGAGGATTCTGCTGTGTGGCTCAGCTGCATTTCGTGACCGACAGATATCTGGCTTGTTGCCACCTTTTTGTTTTATGACCAGTGCTGGAGCGAGCATCTGGAGACACAGTTTTGTGGGATATGAAGTGGGATTGCCATGCCATGTAGTTTACTTGACAGTTTGAGGGACCCCAGACTCTCCCAAAGTGGCTGCACCACAAGTGCTGGTGCTGACTCTTCGTGGGTATAGGGAGCAGCTGGGACAGAGGGACCCCAGCCTCTGATGATGTAAGGGGGGAGGGGAGGACCTCAACACAGGCATGGCTGCCCAGTATCCTTTTTCTTTTTTCTTCTTCTTCTTCTTTTTTTTTTTTTTTTTTTTTTTTTTTTGGAGGGGGGACTTGAGACAGGGTTTCTCTGTGTAGCCCTGGATGTCCTGGAACTCACTCTGTAGACCAGGCTGGCCTCGAGCTCACAGAGATCCACCTGCCTCTGCTTCCAGCCAGTCTCCTCTTCCTTTTCCTTTTTGAGATAGTATAGCCTAGGGTGACCTTGAGCTTCTGAGCCTTCGTCCTGTGAATGCTGGGATTTCAGGCATGTGTGTCACAAAACCTGGCTCCTTGTTAGCTCGATAAACCCCTGTGCGTACGTGAGTGGCACCATGAGGGACCACATGTCTCTGTGAAAGTTAATTTGTTAGGGGAAATTCAATCACACTGTGAACCCCAAGTTTGCATTAGCAGTAATTAAATAAAATTAACCTTGGGTCAGGAGGTTCAGTTAGCAACTAGTTGACAGAAAGTGATCAGAGAGAATCAGAAGGCATCCAGAAGAGAGAGAGACACACACCAGGAGTAGGAAGGATTTGGAGTGGTGCAGACTTTTTTTTTTTTTTTTGGTTTTTCGAGACAGGGTTTTTCTGTGGCTTTGGAGCCTGTCCTGGAACTAGCTCTTGTAGACCAGGCTGGTCTCGAACTCACAGAGATCCGCCTGCCTCTGCCTCCCGAGTGCTGGGATTAAAGGCGTGCGCCACCATCGCCCGGCCAGACTTTTTTTTTGCAAAAAAAAAAAAAAAAAAAAAAAGAGCAAAAGGATGTGCTGTTTTGGAGAGATGCCAGCAAGGAGAGAAGGTTAGCCAGTTGCTACTGAGCTAGCAGGTTTTCACCCCAGCTTTTGAATCTCTAGTCTTATTTATAAATAGAGAGATAGAAGTTTAGTTAAAGCTACCTTTAGTGGCAGTGGCAGAGTTGCAGTTTCTGGCTGAAATAGCAGTAGATTAAGGTGCAGCCACTTGCCAAGTTAAAACACGATTGATTCTGTGTCTCTTTAGGTCTGGTCACACCAAGAGTAAGCTATGAGCAAGCCGCTGACCTGGACAAATGGATCTCCAGTCCAGGTACATAGTGTTACACGTTCATGCCACTTCTACAAAACACAGGTGCTGTTCCTTTTCTGTTTTATTTTCTTTTTGAGACAGGTTCTCACTCTGTGGCACTGGATGCCCTGGAACTCCCTATATAGACCAGGTTGGCCTGGAACTCACAGAGATCCACCTGCCTCTGCCTTCTGGGTGCTGGGATTAAAGGTGTGCGACACTATATCTGGGTTGTTGTTTTTGTTTTTTTCAAGACAGGGTTTCTGTGTAGCCTTTGCTGTCCAGGAACTCACTCTGTAGACCAGATTCTCCTTGAACTCAGGGATCTGCCTGCCTCTGCCTCCTGAGTGCTTTGATTAGAGTTTGGTGCCACCGCTGCCCAGCATTTTTTAAAAATATTTGTTTATTTATTATGTATACAATATTCTGTCTGTGTGTATGCCTGCAGGCCAGCAGAGGGCACCAGATCCCATTACAGATGGCTGTGAGCCACCATGTGGTTGCTGGGAATTGAACTCAGGTACTTTGGAAGAGCAGGCAATGTTCTTAACCTCTGAGCCATCTCTCCAGCCCTGCTCCCCAGCATTTTAACAAATTTTTAAAGATTGATTTTTATCTATGTGTCTGTGTGGTGTGTGCTAAGGCCAGAAGAGGGTATCAAATCTCCTGGAGCCTCACTTAAGGCTGATTGATGTGAGTGCTAGAAAGCAAACTCTGGTCCTCTGTGAGAGCACACCTTTAAACCCAGCATTTGGCAGACTGAGGCTTGTAGATCACTATGCATTCAAAGCCAGCCTGTCAACATAGCAAGTTACAGGACAGCAAATATATATATATATAAGAGACTGTGTCTCAAAACAAACAAAACACAAAATCAGATGACGGGCCAGAGAGACAGTTCAGTGGGTAAAGGTGTTTGCAGCCACGCTTGAGGACCTGAGTTCAGTTCCTGGGACCTGTTTGGTGAAAGGCACCAACCAACTCCTGAAACTTGTCCTTTGACCTCCACTCGGGCACTGTGACAAGCCCCTGCATGTGTATGTGTGTGTGTGTGTGGGGGGGCATGCAAGGGTGTGTGTGTACATGCAGGAACACACACTAATAAATAAAAATGTGAAAAAAGAAAGGATGGAGAATGATTGAGGAAGATACACAGCACTGACCTCTGACCTCTATATATATACATCATGTAGAGGTCACACAGGAATGTTTACACATATGTAAACACACAAAGTAATTAAAAATTTAAAAATGGGGGCTGGAAAGATGACTCAGTGCTTAAGAGCATTGGCTGCTCTTGCAGAGGACCAGGTTCAGTTCCCAGCACCCACATGATGGCCCACATCTGTAACTTCAGTTGCAGGTGATTTGATGCCCTCTGCTGCCCTCCTGGGCACCAGTCACACTCCATGGTGCATACACTTATGTGCACATGCAAACAAGACCCTCATGCACGTGAAATAAAAATAATATATACATCTTTAGGAAAGAATTGATGGAGGCTCAGCAGAGTTGGAAGACACTCCAGCAGAGTTTTGTTGCATGTTCTGCTTGTGTGGCTTCTGTGGACTCTGAGACCTCAGCCGCCACCTCACAGGCCCTGAGGGGATGTGCATCAGAGCCCTCGCCAGCGCTCAGGTTCTGAGGCCTTTGCATAAGTCACTCTTAGGTTGTTAGTCCTTGCGGACACAGCAGGGTCATTCTTGCCTGCTTTATTTTCTAATCTTCGTGTGTGTGTGTGTGTGTGTGTGTGTGTGTGTGTGTGTGCATGTGCATGGAAATCAGGACAAATTCAGCTGTGTCTCCCCCTTATTTGAAAGAGGTATCTTGTTCTTTGATGCCAGTGTTGGGCTAGCACCAGAACTGAAGCTGGGCTCTCAGCTGGCTTTCTGTGGGTTCTGGGGATCTGAGCCTTCTCTCCAGCCCCCTTTCTTGCTTTTCCTGGTAGTTAAACTTTGCAGCCAGAGCAGCTGTGTGGTGTGCCTGATTCAGCAGCCCTTTGTTTTGAATGAAGGTGTGGCCTGTGTTCCTTTCCAGTGGGTTATGACCTTGTTCCTGGCTGTGTGTTTGAAATTCATTCTTTCTAATAGCTTAATAGCTGCTAGGCCTCAGCTCTCTGCTCCCGGATGCCTGAGTGTCCCCAAGTGCAGAGCTCAGTACTGGGGACACAGGAATCACAGGAAAGGGACAGAATCATTCAGGGAGCCGAGGTGGAATAGAGGATGTGGCTAATTGACTTGGGACTACAGGAAGCTCCGTGGAGGAAACAGTGGATGGCTTCCTTAGGGAGCTGGAGAGATGGCGGCTGTGGGGGCACTCAGGCAGAGAGAGCCCCAGGAACACTTCACCTCAGAGAGGGTTTTTCTTTGCAGACACACTTGTGAACAGTGGATCTGCCTCCAGAAATGTGAGCGTTGAAGAGGATTACGTTTTCAGATGGCAAAATAATTCCATCAGCGGACTAGACATCACAGTCATCAGGGCGGAGATCAGTGCCCACCAGAAAGGTAACGCTGGTGAGAGGCTGGAGAGCCTTGAGTGGGAAGTGTTTTATTTTCCGATGGTTTCTGTAACTGTGGCTCTTCCAGTGGAGCCAGACTTGTTTATCATATGTGTTTATCACTGAATCAAGGAGTCAGTATTTTTTTTTTTTTATCCCAAGACAGGGTTTTTCTGTGTAGCCCTGGGTGTCCTGGAATTAGCTCTGTAGACTAGGCTGGCCTTGAACTCACAGAGATCCGCCCCGCCTCTGCCTCCTGAGTGCTGGGATTAAAAGGGTGTGCCACCACCGCTTGGCAGGCGTCAGGAGTCAGACTTAATTTTGCTTTGGGCGTGGTGGCTCACACCTGTGATGCTAGAGCTCTGGAGGCTGAGACAGTGAGACAGTGAGTTCAAAATACATACAGTGAAGCCCTGTCTCAAAGGAACAAAAAAAGTGATTTTTAAAGTAAATGGTACCTAGGCTAGAGAGATGGCTCAGCACTGGCTGCTTTTCCAGAGGACCTGGGGTTCAGTTCCCAGCACCCACATGGCAGCTCACAGATCAGTGTACCCCAGATACTCCACAGACATCTGCAGTGGCTTGCACGTCTACACACATGTATGTATAATTAAAAATAAAGTTTCCCTGAGCAGGGGTGGCGCACGCCTTTAATCTCAGCACTTGGAAAGCAGAGGCAGGCAGATCTCTGTGGATTCATGGCCAACTTGGTCTATAAAGTTTGTTCTAGAACAGTAGTACTGTTACACAGAGAAACCCTGTCCCAATACCCCTCCGAAAAGAATTAAATAAAAAAAATAAAGTAAATAGTATCCCTGGGCTGGCAAGATGGCTCTGCTGGGAGGGTGCTTGTGACAAGCCTGACAACCCTAGCTTGTGTCCCCAGAACGGACTCCTGCAAGTTGTCTTCAGACCCCCACATGTGTGCCAATGCTTATGCACCCACACACCCACACACATACATGCACACCATTACACCCAGATCATTCTCCCCTCCCCCCCCCGCACCCCAAGCCAACTAGACCAAACCTGTATGTAAAAGCAAAGAGCCTTTATTCTTACACAAGTTTGCAAACTTGGACTCTCTGTGTGTTCAATGTATTGGAGTGATCGGAGAGCCCCAAGCTCAGCTGGGGTTGGGGTTTTATAGTAGCAATAGAAAAGGTGGGGGTGAGGTATCTGTAAGGTTCAGGACCCCTGACTGGCTGACATGTCTAGGGGTGTCCTGGTGAAAAATGGTGGGTGTGTGCTGGCAGGTGACCCTATCTACAATGGTTGGAATGTTAGAAGTTTCCTTTGGAAATGTCCTGGGTGGTGCTGGCTTATGACTTTTCCTGGAACCTGGTTGCTGCCTGCTATGGCAGCTGTGCGGCCTGGGTGCCATGTATGGCCAAGCTGCCCTGGGCCCCACATCGCCTGGGCCCTATTATGTGTGGCTTGGCTGCCCTGCCCCCTCAATAAAACATAATTTTAAAAAGTTTTATTTATTTATTTATCTATCTATTTATTATGTATGCAGTATCTGCCTGCATGTACACCTGCATGTCAGAAGAGGGCACTATATCTCATCATAGATGGTTATGAGCCACCATGTGGTTGCTGGGAATTGAACTCGGGATTCTCTGGAAGAGCAGTCAGTGCTGTTAACCTCTGAGCCATCTCTCCAGCCCAAAACGTAATTTTAAAAGAAGAGAAAAAATGGTATGAGCTTGGCTAGCGTATGCCTTTAATCTCAGCACTCGGGAGGCAGAGGCTGGCAGGAATCTTCTGTATAGACCAGGTTGGCTTCAGCCTCCTGAGTGCTGAGACCAAATGTGTGTAATAACATACTTGATTTGTTTCTGTTTTGGTCTTGGTTTTTGTTTTGTTTTGCTTTTTAAGATGATAGCCTGGACTGGCCTTCACCTCAAAGCCATCCTCCTGCCTCAGCCTCCTGAGTGCTGGAATTACGGCGTGTGTCGCCATGCCTGGCACATGGGCATTGCTTTCTTTTCCCAGTGAAATGGTACACATTATATCTCCAGTTTCTTTCATCTCTAGGAACAATGGCCCAAAGATTCACAGTGAAGTTTTTAAGCCATGACAGTGGTGATAAGAAGGAATCTTCTGGAAACCCAGGTAGGACGACTGATGTGCTGGTCTGCACATGCCCTAGGGCTCTCCTGGGCTGTGACATGGTTATCAGGAGCTACCGAGTTGTGTCTCCATGGCCGGTTTATCCTGTGACAGTCCACTTTCTCTGACGGCAACTCAATATTGTAATATACAATGTTACTTTAAATGCAAATTTTATTCTTTATAGGTGTTTTATTTTTGTATTTTGTGGGGTTCTTTAGTTCCTGTTTTTTGTTTTGTTTTTTCTATAGGACTTCTCAATGTAGCCCTGGCTGTCCTGGAATTCTTTCTGTAAACTCAGAGATTAGCCTGCCTCTGTCTCCCAGTGCTGGGATTAAAGGCATGCACCACCACCACTGGCTAGTGTGTGTGTGTGTTTAATGATTTATTTTTATTTCATGTGCATTGGTGTTTTGCCTGCATGTATGTCTGTTGGATCCCCTGGAACTAGAGTTACAGACAGTTGTGAGCTGCCATGTGGGTGCTGGGAATTGAACCTGGGTCCTCTGGAAGAATAGTCAGTGCTCTTAACCACTGAGCCACCTCTCCAGTCTCTTTTTTAAAAATTATTTTTACTTTTGTTTGTGTTTGTGTTCACTTGCATGTGAGTTCACTCACACGTGCCTCTTGTGTGCAGACACCCATGTAGGTCAGACTCCCTGGGTCTGGAGTTTCAGTCAGTTGTGAGCTGCCCAGCACGTGTGTTGGGACCCAACCTGGGGTCTTCTGGAAGAGCAACAAGTGCTCCCAAACACTGAGCCATCTCCCTAGATCCCAGGAGGGCTTTTCTTTTTGTATTTGTGTGTAGCCAAGACTGGCCTTGAACTCTGGATCTAATGTCCTCCCTCAACCTTCCAAGTAGCTAGGATTATAGGCACTGTACCACCACCTGGTGCCTTTTAAAAATGTTTATTGTGTATACAGTGTTCTGCCTGCAGGCCAGAAGAGGGCACCAGATCTCATTACAAATGGTTGTGAGCCACCATGTGGTTGCTGGGATTGAACTCAGGACCCTTGGAAAAGTAGCCAGTGCTCTTGACCTCTGAACCATCTCTCCAGCCCACCTTTGTCCTTTTGAAAGAAAGCTGATACTTGGTGGGCCACGGTCCTCTGAGGATGATAGCCATTGCCACCCTAGAGTGGTTGTGACCGTATCTACAGAAACCCCAGTGAGGTCAGGCCTGCTTCCCTCCCAGCTGCTTGGGAGATACTGGTGCATGGGGGGTGAAAGGCTGAGGGGTGCCCCATCCATGCAGCAGGAGATACTGGCGCATAGGGGGTGGAAGGCTAACTGAGGGGTGCTCCATCCATGCGGCAGGACATCACCACCCGTGCTGGTGGGGTTCTCAGCGCTGTCACTGTCTTAAGGTCACCCACACTCCTGTGAGTTAGCGCACCAAAGCCGTGGGCTCATGCCCTTCAATCCCAGTTCATTCACATGTAGTCAGGGCAAGGCCCACACCGGCTTGCTGTGCACCTGCTCATCTCCTGCCTTTTCGGCCTCCTTGGTGCCTGGTTTGCACCTGTGACGTGGTAACCTATGTGGAGCTGGTAATGTTTTAGATATGCTGGGATAAGTAAAGTACATCAGGACATCAGGGAGGCTGGTGTTCAGGAGTGATGGGAAGTAAGGTCAGAGTATCCGTGGGCTGTGACCGTGACTGGGCCCAGATCTGTGGGACGGGCACCAAATCACACGGGGATGGAGAGGGAAGTGGGAACACGCACTGAGTTGGCCATTGCTGTGGGGTTCTCCTGAGGAATGCTGGTGCTGCACATGTTGGCTAGGAATGTGGCACAGCCTTCAATTTCAGAGCTTCCTCCCTCCATAGCTTGAGAACGGGGTTGCACATGGGTGCCGTCAGGCCTGACTAAAAATGAATAAGTCAAAAAAATCGAAACAGGAAGTAGAAATCACCATCCTCTTGCCTCAGCCTTTCAAGTGTTGGGGTCACCTGCTGCTGTGTGGGCACAGGGGTGGCGTTTACAAAGCTCCGCCTCCACCTCCAAGGCTTCCCTGTCCTGCTGTCTGATGTATGAGAAGATGCCAGCTCTCCCTGCCTTGTTTGCTGTTCTAGGTTACCAGCTTGGCAAGCCGGTCCGCACCCTGCATACCGATGGGATGAATGTTACTGCGTTGCACCTCTGGCAGCCAGGTGATGTGCTTTGCCATGGCGATTTGCCCCTGGCAAACAGGAGCTAGAAAATCTGCTGCTCTTTTGGCCTGTGGCGTGGGGGGGGGGGGGGCGGGCGCTACTTTTTGTGTCTCTGTGGCTTCCCGCCCCCACCCCCAAGGTTGTCTAGCATGTTGTACCTATGTGCTGGGTATTTGAAGATCAGTTCAGGCGTGACTGGGCTCTCTGTGGCCAGCATGCTGCTCCTCGGAATGATGGGCACCCAGTGCTGTGGTAGGAGATGCCCATACCTGTCAGAAGCAGCGATGTCCCACTACCAAGGAGTCACTGAACTTGGTCCAGGAATTCTCACAGAGAATAGTGTCTTTGTTTGGCTTTGAAAGTATCAGAAGGATTAGAATAGCAGTTCTCAACCTTCCTAATACTGTGACCCTTTAATACAGTTCCTTATGTCATGGTAACCTCCAAGCACAAAATTCTTTTCTTTCTTTTTTTTTCACAGTCCATAAAGGCTCTTTATTTATGTTTTACATCTCTAGAAAAAGAATCATGTGGTTGCTGGGAATTGAACTCAGAACCTTTGGAAGAGCAGGCAATGCTCTTAACCATTGAGCCATCTCTCCAGCCCCTACAAAATTATTTTCTTTGCTATTTTAGAGCTGTAATTTTGCTTCTGTTATGAATCGTAAAGTAAGCATCTGATATGAGATCCCCAAAGGGCTTATGACCCACAGGTTGAAGACGACCAGATCAGAGTAACGAAATGACCCAGTTTGCAGAAACGGAAACATTTTGTTTTACTTTCCATTACTGGTTTTGTATTGTTTAGCCAGCTGTGCTGGACATTCCTGCTATCCCAGCACTTTAAGATGTGGAGGCAGGAGGACCAGGAGGTCAAGGTCATCCTCAGCTTCATCATCAGCCCAAGGCCAGACTGGGCTGTGTGAGACCCTGTCTCAAAAAAGATGAAAATTAACACTTTTTGTTTGTTTGATTGAAAAGGGTCATTTTATGTTGTTCAGGCTGGCCTTGAACCGCCATGCTCCTGCCTCCACCTCCTGAGTACCGCTGAGAGGGCTTTCAGGAAACACCTGGAAGTAAATTTTGTCTATTAGCAGAACAGTGAGAACTCATCTTTCAGTTGCAGCTGGAAGGGGCTTGTGCACATCAGCCGCTCTCAGACCCGTTTTATTTGGAGAGAATGTACTTGCCGGCTGCCTTTTGGAGGTTGGGATTAATGAGAACTGTACGCAGCTCCGGTGAGTCTCATATTGGTTGGTTTATGTGAAGTGGGGTCTCATAACCAAAGATGGCCTTGAACTCTTGATCCTACTGTCTCCACCTCCCCAGGACTGGCTCAGCGAGTTTCATTCATTAATTTTCCTGCATTTTGAGTGGTTTCCTTAAAATTAATTTATCACGTGTGCGCAGAGAGAACTTGCACATCAACACAGGCAAGCAGACCTGGGGATGAGAACTATTCATGCTTAAACAAGGCTTCTGGTGTGGGAGCCTTCTCTGAAAACTGGGTGAAGGGCCAGGGCCATCTGTAGTTTTAACTGCATGATTAGTGTTTGGAAAATGTTTGTGCACATGTGTGTATTTAATATTGTCCATGAAATTATTGAGTGTGTGAGATGGGTATGAGCACAGGTGCATGCATGTGTGTGTCTTGTGTGTGTGCGTAGGTTGGGGAGCACCTTTCTCCAGCACAGATTCTAGGTGTGGAACACAGGTCATCAGGGTTGGTGGCACTTGCTCTTACCCCTGAGCCATATTGCTAACCCTGACTTTTTTCATGGCGGTAAAATTCCTATGTTATTAACCTTCGTGAAGCACCGATTGAGCCAGGCACAGTTGCTCAGCCATCGTTGCTCTCGAGAGGCTGAGGCAGGGTTGTTGTTAGGGGTATCTTGGGCTGCATATAACACCCGGTCTCAACATAGAATCAAACAAAGAGGGTCTGTCTGTCGCAATGGTTCAGCAGGTAAAGGCATTTGCTGCTAAGGGACCTGAATTCAAGACCAGGACCTGTGGTGGAAGAAAACTGACGCCCTTAAGTTGTCTGACCCTCAAATATGCCACGGCACATGCATGCACATGTACACAAATGTTTAAAAGACCAAAGTCAAGCAAAAAAGTTGAATATCTACAGGCCTTTTATGATCATATATATCTTGTTCTAAAATATTTTCATCACCAAAAATGAAAATCTGTCTGTATAAATAGTTACCCCCCCCCCCATCTTCTCCCCAAAGCCTCAGGTACCACACACCCTGCTTTCTGCCTCTGTGCTTTGCCTGTTGGGTGTTCAAATGGAATCAGACCCACCCTGCTGTTCTTCCATGTCACAGCATGTACTGGAACTCCCTCCGTTCCTATGATGACCTGTAGACTGACTGTCTTTGTGTGTCTGTACATACCACACCTTGTTCATCCCCCTGGGTTGTTGGACATCTGCGTCTTCCACTCTTTGGCTGCGTTCATGGCTGCGAACAGGCCTGTACTAGTTTTTCTTTGAATTGCTTACTGTTCTTTTTTCTTTTTGGTTTCTCAAGACAGGGTTTCTTTATGTAGCTCTGTCTATCCTGTAACTACCTTTGTAGACCAGGCTGGCCTCGAACTCACAAAGATATGCCTGTTGCTGCTTCCCAAATCCTGGGTGAAAGGTGTGCACCACCACCTGGTAGGCGCTTCCTGTTCTTTTAGTCTGTGCCTGGGAATTGAAGTGCCAGGTTGTCTGGTAAAGCCGTCTGCAGTGCCTGGTTTTTCTACAGTGATGGCGTCTTTTGCCACTCGCACAGCAGAGCAGGACAGCCCCAGTGTTCCCACATCTTCCCAGCACTCACTGTTTTCCTTGTTTCTGATTACATTTTTGTTGTTTTACGTTTATCTTTGTTTTGTTCAAGGATGGGCGAGCACACATATGCTTCCCATGTGGAGGTCAGAGGACAACTCTTGGGGCCCAGTGCTCTCTCTGGCCATGCTGTAGGGTCTAAGAATCCAGCTCAGGTCTTTAGGCCTGCTACACGCTCCTCCACCCACTGAGCCACCTCACTGGCCCCTCCCCTCCCAGCACGGTCTCCACTTTAAGATTTATTTGTTTTTATGGTTTAAAAGTTTGTATGGTTTGTATGCCTATGCACCATGTGCAGGCAGTGCCTGCAGTGACCAGTTGAGGCTGCCAGATGCCCTGGAACTGGGGGTACGGATGGTTGTGAGCTACCAAGTAGGTGCTGAGAATTGAACCTGGGGCTTCTAGAAGAGCGGCAAGTATTCTTTCTTTTTTATTTCTTTGTTTCTTTCTTTCTTTTCCTTCCTTCCTTCCTTTTTTTTTTTTTTTTTTTTTTTTTTTTTTTTTTTGAGATTGGGTTCTCTGTGTAGCCCTGACTATCCTAGAACCTGATCTGTAGACCAGGCTGACCTCGAACTCAGGGATCCACCTGCCTCTGCCTCCTGAGTGCTGGGATTAAAAGCGTGTGCCATCACTGTCCAGTTTGAGCAACAAATGTTCTTAATTGCTGAGCCATCTCTCCAGTTTACACCCACACCTGTATATACCCTGTTTATACCCTGCATATACCCCGTTTTTATTTATTATTGTTATTATTATTATTGGTTTTTCAATACAGGGCTTCTTTAGCTTTGGCGCCTGTCCTAGAACTTGCTCTGTAGACCAGGCTGACCTCAGACTCACAGAGATCCGCCTGCCTCTGCCTCCTGAGTGCTGGGATTAAAGGTGTGCGCCACCACTGCCCGGCTGCACTGTGTTTTTAATGTCAGTCCCTCCAGCAGATTTTCATCTGGGCTCCCAGCAAAGACCTAAGTTCCAGTCTTGGGAAGGGCTTGAGGACAAGCCCCGCTGGTCACCTGCTGAGAAGTGTCGTCTTCTTCTCATGCAGGGAGAACGTCCTCCAGAGGCTGGATTTGCTGATACAAGCAACTCACGTCGCGAGGAGAGGCAACTCGGATTACAGCGATCTGAGTGATGGCTGGCTGGAGATCATACGTGAGTCTTAGTGGCCACGCACAGGGGCTTATGGCTATTGAGCCTGTGGTTGCCAGCCGTGGCCCAAGAGCCTGGCGTATTTGGCTAGGACTCTCTGCTGCAGGCAGGAAGCTTTTCACGGCTGTCTCATGGCTTTCCCAGGCAACCCCTGCGGACTTCCTCTTGCTGAGAGTCCAGGCTTGAAGATCTTTAGGGCACGTCAGTTTGCACTGCTGCTTTGAGCTCCCAAGAATATTGGCACCGAGAGCTAACTTGGTAGTGTATAGAAGTCACTTTGTTACCGAGTTTGAAAATGTGGTGCTGAGTGAAGGAAGCCCAGACACAGACCTCCCAGATGTGTAAAAATCCCACTTGTGGGTGCTAGGAAACGGTTAGGTACTGCTGTGATCTGGAGAGTTCTGTGTAGGCTGATCTGAAAGGGAACAAGGCTGAGATGTGTGCAGGGCCCTGGGTCTGAGCCCCAGCAACCACTTCTTCCCAGATCCAAAACCAGTCCGAAAAATCACTCACCTCTGAGCTGTTCACTTTGAAGGGAACTGGGCAGAGACTGGGGTGTGGCTCTAAGGACGGGTGCTAGTTTAGCTTGGTGGTATTATTACAGTGCCTCCAGCCAGGAACAGGAGCAACCAAAGATGCTAGGATGAGTTCTAAGTATCCTTCTTTATGTGACTTCTGAGAGGGTGGTGACTATTTAGGATAATTTTGTGACTTTACTGCGGTCCCTCGTGTTCCTCTCAGAATACTCTTTGGCTTTTGGGGACAAACTTAGACTCTGAATCTCTCATCTCTTTCTCTCTCTCTCTGGTTTTCAAGACAGGGTTTCTATAACAATCCTGACTGTCCTGGAACTAGCTTTGTAGACCAGGCTGGCCTTGAACTTAGAGATCCACCTGTCTCTGCTTCCTGAATGTTGGGATTAAAGACTTGCACCATCATTACCTGGCCTTTTTCTCTTTTTTAAGAAAATATTTTATTTATGTGACTATGTGTCTCTGTGGAAGATTATGCCATACAAGTTCTGGTGTCCTTGGAGGCAGGAGAGGGCATCAGATCTCCTGGAGTTGAAGTTATAGGTGGTTGTGATCTGGGAACTGACCCTGGGTCCTCCACAAGAGCAGCCAGTGCTCCTAAATGCTGAGACATCTCTGCAGCTCCAGACACTGAATCTTTATGTTTAGTTTTATTATGTGGGCTGGGACCTCATTCATCTCGCAGGGAAGCATTTAGCCGCCACTCAGGTGAGTAGTACCTGCTTCTGCCTGGTGGACATGAGGTCACATAGTTATGGGGTGACAACATTAGAGCTTGCTAGAGGACTGGGAGCCAGACCATGTCACCTTCCATTCCTTAGTGTGTCATGTGTGACACTATAGGACAGCTGCTTTTAACAGGTATCTTGACATTCCTGCAGGTGTTGACGTCCCTGAGACAGGTGCTGACCTGCCCCTGAGCAGTGCAAATGGCATCTGCCCAGAAGTTCCTGCCCAGCTCACCATCCGCATCCTCATTGCTGAAGCTGGTTCTGTGGAAGGGGTGGCTCAGCACGAGATCCTCGGCGTGGAGACGAGGTGTGTGTGGTCTCTTCCCAGCGCTGCCAAAGTCAAGAGCAGGACAAAGACTAGGGATGCTAGGTGGGAATCTGCACACTTGCAAATGGGGATTGTTAGGGATCTGGCTGTGTGGGTGGAAGGCGCCAATACTGTGTTTGAGACTGAAGCTGCTCTCAGGATTGTTGGAAGGCTCTGAGAGCTGCTGCTGCAGAGTCCAGAGGGCTAGGGCTAGCAAGGGGCCGTGCAGTGCTGCATGTGCAACTCTGTGAGCCTGGGTGGCGCGCTGGCAGCAGAATGTGGCCATTGGTTGGAGGCTTTGCCATGTGTGGCTTTAGACAGTTTGATATGTAGTTGCCTCATCTGAGAAACGATGACAGCCGAGTGTTGAGTTTCTCCCTCAGGTGACAGGTTCCACCTAACAGAAAGTGATGCGTGCCGCTCAGTTGGGAAGAGTCCCCATGCTGCAAGCTCAGAGAGGGTCTCTTCCCTTTTACCTCCAGTTCCCCTTGCCCTGGGACTGCCTTCATTCGCAGGGACGTCCTCCTCAGTCCTGCAGGGTCAGCACCAGCTCAGTCTTGCCTGGGCTTACTAAAGAGAGGCCATCTTGTCAAGAGACATTCGGGTAGACTTACATTTGTCCAGCTGGGTCATGTGTTCCTGTCGGAGCCATTTGCCATGGCCAGGACTATCAATAGCCCTGGCAGGCAGGCTCTGGATTCAGGCTTCTGTCTTTTGATCTACTGAACAGAGAGTGGGAGTGATGTGCCTCACCCCTAAGGGAAGTTGGGGAGCAGTTACCAGAACAGGAGAAGGGATGCCTAGTCCCCATCAGAGCTAGAGCTACTTCAGAGTGTTGGGGTGAAACCAGTGGGCTCTCTTCCTAGGCAAGGCTTCACCATTGAGTTTCTCCTCAGCCCCACAGTACTGTTTCGAGGATTCTTCGCCATAACATGTAAAAAGTGCCTTAGTTCTGTGCTGCGGACATGGAATGCCCTCGATAAATGACCAGCTGCCAATAGACTGTGGGAGACAAGCAATCTTTGCTAAGAGAACCTGGTGACGGGTACAGGGACCTGCAGATTCTCTCTTTGTGTCTAGACTTGAATTCCCTGGGGTCCTGAGTCAGGCTTCTGATGAATGGTGGCCACTCTGCCTTACAGTCTCCCCGTTCTAGGGTCTCCACGGTGACCTGGCAGTACCAGTGTGGGCTCACCTGTAAGGACACGGCTGCTCTTCTCCCTCTCAGCGCTTCCGTTCAGTTCATTAAAATCCCTGCGCAGATGCCCCGCCCTCCAACGAGGTGAGCCAATGGCTGACAGGCTAGCAGGTTCCTTCCTGCCTCTCACTGGTTCTCCCCAAACCTTCTCATGTGTTTTTATAGATTCCAGATCAACTTCACAGAGTATGACTGTACCCGGAATGAGCTGTGTTGGCCTCAACTTCTGTACCCTCTGACCCAATATTACCAAGGTAGGGAAGGCAGGTTCCGCTTGTTGTCAGAATGTCATGCCAATTGAAACTGCTGAATCAATGTGTATTTGTCGTGGGCAAACCGCACAGACAGACTTAAAAGAAGAAACTGTGCCACAGCTGATGTTTTATCAGCTATTAATGCTTAACACTAATAATCACTAAATAGTTACCTTCAAAGTCAAGATAGGATACAGCCCACTTGTTGTGGGGATGGGGTAGAGCCCCTGCAAGTGTCATGGCAGGCAGGGAAACAAACCTCAAAGAGATGAAAATGAAAACTCAGTTCAGCCCGGTTGGATCAAACGCTGGGTTCTGGTCCAGTAAACACAGTACGATTTGGAGAAAGTTTCCTGTGTAATACAATTCCCAGTTCACAAGGAGGCGTAAGTACACTGCAACTCAACTCAAAGTACATGTCCTTTCTTCCAAGATAGGAAGAGCCTGCTTCCTGTTCTAGCTGAAGGGCCTAGGGAAGGACCTGGTGTGTCTGGGTCATACAGACAGTATATTGCACTACTATCCGCCTCTGTCCTGGTTGGGGGAGCTCGGGGGAGCCCTTGGCTATATAGATAATATAAGGGTCATTTAGACTATCAGCCACCTCCGGTCCTGGTTTGGGGAGCTTGATATAGTCTCTGGCCTTACAATAATATAGATCATAATGTAGACCACCGGGTTGTTCATCACCCCCTTTCCTCTGAGAGGACAATCCTGCATGCTTAACATTCCTGCTTTCCCTGGTGGTCTGTGGGTGCAAGGACTTTGTGATCCCAAAAAGTTGTCTTTTGCTGTCTTCCAGGAGAGCCCCGTTCCCAGTGTGTCGCCAAAGGCCTAATGCTTCTGTCGCTCCTCCTGTTGGCCACACTCATCAGCCATCCTTGGATGAGACTGTACAGAGGCTGGTGCTCGGCTCCCATCCCCCGCTGACTTTGCTCAGGACTCAGAGTGCGCACTCAGTGGCTCCCTGTAGGCCTGTGTGCCTCTCTGAAACCGTTTGTTTGAGACAGGGTCTCACTATGTAGCCCAGGCTGGCCTCTAAGTACACTGGGATCTTCCTGCCTCTGCCTCCAGAGTGCTGGGACTGAAGGTGTGCACCACTGTGCCTAGCCTCCCTGAAACATTTTAATAAACAAAATGTCTATTTTTATAGAAATTCTTGGTGTTAAGTGAATTTAAGTCGATTATCCAGATATTCAGAGTTGCACAGAGTGATCATTCTTGCTGCCGGCTGGCTTCAGGGGAGCTGCTAGTGTCCCTGAATGTCAGAGACCTAAGCCTAGCACGAATTCCTAATCACAGGAGTTTTGGTTTTGACCATACTTAATGCAAGCATATAAGAATTAAAAAGGATTGATTGATTACTGCTTCATATTCCAAAGAAAAGGTTTGAAAATGCTTAAAAGACTTTTAAAATTAAATTAGATGATGATGATGATGCAGCAGGTCTGTGTTTGAGTGAGCGTAGGTGCGGGTACATGGGAGACAACCATTGGGGCGGGTGGCATTGTGTAGGCATTGCCTCTACCCATGAGCCATCTCAGCATCGCTATAGTCTTAAAGTGTACATTACTCATTGTGTAGAACCAGGCCAGCCTAGAACACAGAGATGTGCTTGTCTCTGCTGCCCGAGTGCTGAGATTAAGGGCACGCGCCACAATGTCTCAGCCAGTTTTCTTAAGCAGGCCAGGACCACCTATCCAAGGGCAGTAGTGCCCATAATGGGCTGGGCCCTCCTACATCAATCAGCAATCAAGATAATTCACCATAGACACGGCTTACAGAGCAATCAGATCTGTGTCACCCTTCAGTTGAGATTCCCGCTTCTCAAGTGACATCATGTCATGTTGACAGTAAAAACTGGTATAGGGCCGGGCGGTGGTGGCGCACGCCTTTAATCCCAGCACTCGGGAGGCAGAGGCAGGCGGATCTCTGTGAGTTCGAGGCCAGCCTGGTCTACAAGAGCTAGTTCCAGGACAGGAACCAAAAGCTACGGAGAAACCCTGTCTCGAAAAATAAAAAAAAATAAAAAAAAAAAAACTGGTATAGGGACATTTGAGCTGAAACCTAAAGGAGTCACCTTTAGTGAGGTCCAGTGGGCCAGTATTTTAAACTGAGGGATTCCAGAGTTCCAGAGACCAGGAAACAGAGAGGAGTGTGGCTGAGTGAAAGGACCCAGGACTAGGGTGAGGGGTTCAGCTTGTCTTTGGAATATAACGAGAGAAGCCACGTCAGATTGTATGCTATTGCAGAAGTCACATGACCACTGTGTAGAGGCTGCCTGTGTGGCCAGTGGGATTGCAGAGGCCACACAGTGCACCACATAGGGTGCCATGGATCGTACACGTCCCAGGCTGACAAACCCACTGTGACAAGGCCAACAACCGGTGGTGGCTGACTGCAAGCGAGCAGGTGTCCTGGGAGTCAAGAGAGAGTTCTCAGACTAGCTCAGCATGATGGCTGCAGCCTCTGTCTCCACTAAGAGCCAAAGGGTGTTTTCTTGGAACGGTAAAGTGGCACAGAGTGGCTAAGACTCTCCTCCCAGCACTCGAAGGCAGAGGCAGATGCATCTCTGTGAGTTTGAGGCCAGCCTGGTCTGCTGTTGTTTTTACTCTAACCCCATATTGAAACGTCAAAATGTAGTTGGTTGCTTTACTCTTTAGTCTTTGGGGACCCGCCACCCAGCTCCCAAATAAATCACACACGGAGTTTATTCTTAGTTGCTTCTGGGCTTTTTCCTTTTCTTCTGTATATCTTACTTTCACTCTGGCCCCTAGTGTCCGCCACTTCCTCCGTTCTCCTGTTCACACTTTCTGCCTGCCAGCCCTGCCTATCCTTTCTCCTGCCTCCCTATTGGCCATTCAGCTCTTTATTAGAGCATCAGGTGTTTTTTTAAAATATTTGTTTGTTTGTTTATTTATTATGTATATGATATTCTGTCTGCGTGTATGCCTGCAGGCCAGAAGAGGGCACCAGACCTCATTACAGACTGTTGTGAGCCACCATGTGGTTGCTGGGAATTGAACTCAGGACCTCTAGAAGAGCAGGCAATGCTCTTAACCACTGAGCCATCTCTCCAGCACCCCCCCCCCCCAATCAGGTGTTTTAGACAGGCAAAGAATCACAGCTTCACAGAGTTAAACAAATGCAGCATAAACAAAAGCAACACATCTTTACATCATTAAAACAATGTTCCGCAGCGTAAACACAAGTAACACACCTTAAAATAATATTCCCCAACACTGGTCTACAGAGCTATTTCCAGGACAGCCAAGGCTACACAAAGAAACCCTGTTTCGACCTCCCTCCCCAAAAGACACTCCTCCTCACCCCCATTAAAATAGATTTATTTATTGGGTCTGGAGAGATGGCTCAGTGGTTAAGAGCCCATATTCCCCTTTCAGAAGACCTGAGTTTGGCTCCCATACCAGGAGGCTCTCTGCCACTGTCTCTCCTGGGGATCTGAATCCTCTGGCCTCTGCAAGCCATGTGCAAGTGCACACACACTTTCTTTAAAATAATAAAAATCATTTGAAAATGTTTATTTGTATGTGTGCTTGAGTGTATATGTGTGCAGAAGCCTATTAGGTCAGAAGAAGACATTGGATTTCTTGAAACTGGAGTTACAGATTGTTGTGAGACATCTGATCTGGGTCCTGGGAGCCCCAAAACTTACTGCAAGAGCTCTAGGTGCTCTTAACTCCTGAGCTATCTCCAGGTCATAGGACAGCAATAACAACAACAAAACTGCTGACGTTATTAAGAGTTCTTGTCGCCGGGCGGTGGTGGCGCACACCTTTAATCCCAGCACTCGGAGGCAGAGGCAGGCAGATCTCTGTGAGTTGGAGACCAGCCTGGTCTACAAGAGCTAGTTACAGGACAGGCTCCAAAACCACAGAGAAAACCCTGTCTCGAAAAACCAAAAAAAAAAAAAAAAAGTTCTTGTCTAGCATATATGAAATCCTGGGTTCCAACCCCAGCCAACACAGACTCAATGTGAGCGGCTTGCCTGTAATCCCAGCACTGAGGTGGGAGGTTGAAGGCAGGAGTTCAAAGTCACCCTTAGCTACTTGAAGAGTTTGCAGCCTGCCTGAGACATGTGGGACCCTATCTCAAAAACAAACAAATAAATTTAAAAAGTAGGTCTCTCAACTGGACGGTGGTGGCACACACCTTTAATCCCAGCACTCAGGAGGCAGAGGCAGGTGAATCTCCGTGAGTTTGAGGCCAGCCTGGTCTACAAGAGCTAGTTTCAAGACACGCTCCAAAGCTACAGAGAAAACCTGTCTCAAAAAACCAACAAACCAAACAAACAAAAAAGTAGGTCTCTTGTCCTCTGGTGCATAGCCACCCACACATATACATTAATTGGATTTAGCGGATCATCACCAAAAAGGACAAGCAATTGGAGGGGGAACGTTTTTGGAATAATGTGGGAATTGGAAAGGAAAACGGGTTGAATACGATATTTTTGCTGTATACATATATGAAATTCTCAAAAATAAGGAAAATAAAGAAGTCCTCAGGGGTGGTGGTGCACACCTTTAATTTCAGCACTTTTAGGTAGAGGAAGGGTGATCTATGTATGAGGTCAGCTAGGTGACAGCCGGGCTACATAGATTCTGAGTCAAAAAACCAAGTCTTCAAAAGGACCTGGCCATAGTGGGGCACGAAAACAATCCTGGTACTGGAGAAGCTGAGGCAGGAGGGTTGCGAACTCACGGCCAGCTTAAATTCCATAGGGAGATCCCATCCGAGGAAAAAAATTACACACCAATGAAATAAACTCTAAAAGTAGCGAAGGGTCCACCCGCCTCCTGTGCACCGATTGGACGAGTCGTAGTGACGGACTGCCACAATCCTGATCGTTCATTGGTTATTTTGCGGTGGGCGGTTCCCCGGGGCGGAACCGGAACCGGCTGCCGCGGTAGGCGGGGCGTGGCAGGTAGTTGTGGCGGCGGCTGAGCTGTGGCCGCGGTGGCAGCGGTGCGGAGCCCCATGGTGCCGGTGCGCGGGCCGCGGCGGCTGAGCGAGGCGGCGCCGCCATGGGCTCCCTGTTCCGCAGCGAGAACATGTGCCTGGCGCAGCTCTTCCTGCAGTCGGGCACCGCATACGAGTGTCTAAGCGCACTGGGCGAGAAGGGCCTGGTGCAGTTCCGAGACGTGAGTGTCCCGCGGCCTGCGTGCCTGTGCAGCCCAGGGCTGGGCGCCGGCAAAGTCGGCTGACGTCGTGGGGACCCGGGCCGGGAGGTGGCTTTGCAGGCTGGCGAAGGAGGGCCCTTCTGAGGAGGTGGTTTTTGAGACGAGACCCGAACGGGGCAGGAGCTGTCAACGGGGAAAGAGGAGGGTCTCGGAGATGGCTTTGCAGAGTAATCAAGGACGACCCCTCCGAGAAGGTGGTCTTTGAGCTGAGATCGGAACGGAACAGGAGCTGGCAGTGGGAAGATGTGGAGGAGGACGGTACCCAGAGGTGGTTTTGCTGGGTAGTTAAGAAGGGGCCCCTCTGAACAGGAATAGGTGGGATAAGAGAGGCTGGAAGAGCGATGGGGAAGTGTGACAGGTTGTGAGTTCCTAGGGAGAGAGCTTCTGAGTTTCAGACTCCTGTATGATGATGCGTTGGCATTGTTGACAAGTGACAAGGACCTGGGTCACAGTATGTGTGGAATGGAGGCTGTCTCTGCAACTGTAATAACACACTTGCCAACACAGCCACTGGCTTTTTTTCAACCTCCGTGCACTACCAACCTCCGAGGGTCAGGACCTTGCCCAACTTGTTCTTTCTTCATTTCCCACGAGTGGCACGGGCCCTGGCATTTATTGGCATTAATGAACAATGTTGGATGAATACATAAGCCTTTATGGATTAACTTCTGGCCTTGGAGACTCAGAGCAAGGCAGATGAAGACCCTGTGCTCCTGAAGTTCAGTCTGGGAGGACGCTGGGTAAACGCTGATCATGAACTGTGTCACGGAGGAGGAGAATGGTGCACAAAGGCTGCCAAACAGGCCCCGATACCTACACCAGTTTGGGCTTCTGGCCATTTCTCTGTCTCTTTCTGATGGGTCCATACTCCCATGATCTGATATGGGTGGCCCTTACATCATCATGGGGACTCCTGAGTGGCAGGCGAGGGCACAGGCAAGGTGTGGTGCTATTCCTGGGTCCCAGAGCCACTTGGCCTACAGTCCTTGGTCTTCGTACCTGACAGGTAGGGTGTGGTGCTGTGAGTGGCACCAGAAAGATCGAGGCAGCAGTCGCAAGGGAAACAGGCTTTTATATCAGGTCTAATTTGTTCCATCCTGTTAGGACTCAGGCCAAGGCACTTATCATGCTTCAATCTCAGGGGCCCAACAAGCCCTGTAATCAGCTCAGAGCTTCGGGTTCCACTGAGTGCCGTTACATGAGCTCCAGGCTGGACTCTGGATCCTTTTAAAGGGAGAGAAAGTGCAGCTGATCTTCGCAGGAGGGAAATAAAATGAACGTGCTTTGCTGAGCCTTCAGGGCTGCTCCGGGTCAGGTGCCTGTAAGCTTGGGCATTGATGTTCGAGCTTGTGACGGGTCCCATGCTCATTTATGGGGTGGGATCACCAACCCTTTTTGACTTACTCAGGCCTTTTTGCTTGTCACCCCCGGAGGGGTGGGGCAGCTGAAGGTTTTCCATAGCAACTGCAGTGGGGAAATCTGGACAAAGAGGGGCTGTGGCCCTGAAGAGACAGGTGGGCTCAGTTCCGTTTTTACTGTGAGGACAGCTTCCTTCTTGGCCCTGTTGTTGCTGGGACTGGAAAGACAGTGAGTGCTGTAGCTTTGCCTCCTCTGCCTACTCTTCTGGGTTCAATGCCAGTCATATAGACAGGGTCTGGAGCTGGGTGTGCTGTTGCCACACTCTGGAGGCTGAGGCAGGAAGATGAAGAATTCAAGGCTAGCCTGGGCTCTATAGGGAGCTATCTCGATAAAATGAAAAAGGAGGCGAGGGATGGCTCAGCAATTAAGAGCCCTTAGGGCTCTTGCAGAGGTCCAGAGTTCAGTTCCCAGCACCCATACCAAGAGGTTCACGGAGCCATCTGTAGCTCCAGCTCTTTTGGATTCCTCAGGCACCTGTACTCATGAGCCCTCACCCTGCACACAGAAATAATAAAATAAATCGTAAACATCAAACAAAGGGGTCTGTTGGAATGCACTTCCACACCATTAGCTTTGAATTAAGGAACCTGCAGTCTTACGTTACATCCTCCCCCAAAATAAAACGTGGTAGCCCATCCAATAGCACACAGTGGCTGTCTAAGCTGCTGCTGCTGCTGCTGCTGCTGCTGGTAGGTGTTTGTATCCTTGTGGCAGGGGCACACCTCTTCACAGAAGAGCTGCTGTTGGGTTGAGAGTTAAGCCACTGCCGAAAGGAAATTGGCAAGTGGAGCGGCAGGCAGGGCTGGTCCCTGGCTCCAGGTTCCCGTTCTCAGTTCCACGGCAGCCACCAAGTCTGAGTCGTCTGGGTGGGCGTGACCTCCAGAAGTGAAAGGGAATGAGATAGAGAAGTGACCTCCAGTTTTGATCCTTCTGATTAATGCTTTAAAAGTGGTTGGGAATCTCCAGCGAGAGGGGAGCAGTTTTACACCAAGTCTAGTTGTAGAGCCCAGTGCAAATGCTGTATCCATACGGATGCAGCTTGTGCCCTAAATGCATGTCCTTGTAAGTGATTATTAGAAAAGTAGGACGTTGCTTGGCGTGGTGGTGCTGGTGGCGCACACCTCGGGAAGCAGAGGCAGGCGGATCTGTGCGTGTGAGGCCAGCCTGACCTACAAAATGAGTTCCAGGACAACCAGGGTTACACAGAGAAACCCTAGTTAGAAAAAATTTTAAAAAAGAAAGAAAAGAAAAGTAAGGTAGTGCCATTATTGTCGAGAATAAAGTTGCTGGACAGTGGTGGTGCACCCTAAAGGTGCACACCTTTAGTCCCAATACTCGGGAGGCAGAGACAGGCAGATCTCTGAGTTTGAGGCCAGCCTGTTCTACAGAGAGCTTAGTTCTAGGAGTTTCAGGACTGCCTTCGTAGCTACTGAGAAACCCTGTCTTGAAAAACAAAAACAAAAACAAAGAAAAAGAAAAAAGTAATTACTGTGTGTGATTTAGAAAGAAGTTAACATGTTAACTTCTAACTCATTTTAATCTGCTTTATTTCTTTATTATTTATTTTGAGGCAGGGTCTTGAGCTCCAAATATAGTTGGGGATGACCTTGAACTTACTTCTGTTCCTCCTTCCTGCCCCACCTCCCCGGTGCTGAAATTACAGGGGTGTGCCACCGCACCCAGCTTTGTGTTTCTGTGCCTCTGGGTGCTGGGCGGATGCGCACCAACTGACCTAGTCCCCCACCAATTTCCTGTTGGTGGATGTTGGTGTAGATTTCCTCTGAGCTTAATATCCATATTCATGTTTTTTTCTTAAATCTATGTTTCTTTCTGGATTACTTCTGAGCCAAGGGCTATTATTCAGGCGTTACTTGCTGTCCAGGAAAGCCCCGTCAGTTTTCTGTCAGTGGCTGATGACAGTGGACTCCTCCCAACCCTTTCACAGTAATGTTTTCCCTCAACAGTCTGTTTTAGCTCAGTGGCAGAGTGTGACCCCTACACCAACACATTTTAAATGACTAGATAAATATAAACAAAATTTACTTTATCCAGTCCTACATTTGAGCTCACCATCAAAAAATTTAAATAATTAGATTAATAAAAACAAATTTAGCCGGGTGCAGTGGTGGCACATGCCTTTAATCCCAGCACTCGGGAGGCAGAGGCAGGTGGATCTCTGTGAGTTCGAGGCCAGCCTGGTCTACAAGAGCTAGTTCCAGGACAGGCTCCAAAGCTACAGAGAAACCCTGTCTCGAAAAAAAAAATTTTTTTATGAGCTTAAAACAAAATTTTCTTCCTTTTCTCAGCTCAACCAAAATGTAAGCTCTTTTCAAAGAAAATTTGTTGGCGAGGTGAAGAGGTGTGAAGAGCTGGAAAGAATATTGGGTAAGTTTGTCTTCCATTTTAATAATCCTAATACTTAGTTTAATATAAACTTATTTGTTTCTTTTAGAAAACTATAGACAAGCTGGGCGGTATTGGCACACAACTTTAATCCCAGCACTCAGGAGGCACAGGCAGGTGGATCTGTGAATTCAAGGCCAACCTGGTCTACAGAACTAGTCCTAGGACAGCCAGGCTACACAGAGAAACCCTGTCTTAAAAAAACAAACAAGAGGGGGCTGGAGAGATGGCTCAGAGGTTAGGAGCACTGCCTGTTCTTCCGAAGGTCCTGAGTTCAATTCCCAGCAACCACATGGTGGCTCACAACCATCTGGAATGAGATCTGGTGCAAAATACAGTATATATAATAAATAAATAAATCTTTAAAAAAAACAAACAAGAAAGAAAGAAAAAGAAAAGGGTTTTCACTTTCCTGTAATTCATAGGTAGGCACTGTTATGGGTGCTTCTTATTTTTTCACTTGTTCCATAGACTGTAGAAGGAACTACAGTGACTGCTGCTGGCCTTTCTCTCATGTAATGGTCCTTGCTGCAACATTCCTCTTGTTTAGTGTAAACTGAGGCTCAGCATTTGGTGGGAGCAGAGTAGTATTTCCTGATATTGATGTGCCATGGTTTAATCAGCCAGCCCTGTATATATAGTTTTTTCTTATAAGTGAAAAACCTTATATGTTAAGATATTACTTAATTTAAGACCTTATTTGGCAATAAGAAAGGCAGGAAATGGCTGGTAGCTGCCCTGATATCACTTGTTGTCTTTGCAGGCTCCCTTTGTGACTGGGCTAGGTTGGTGCTCTCTGCTTAAGTGTTGGAACTCAGTAGCTCTCGGCGTTCCTTTCACCTCTAAAACCTGCAAGAGTTACCCAAAGTAGTCTGGCTGCAGGAGAGTCCTCCAACTTCCTATCCTGTTTATCGTTGATGACTAATCAAGTCCACCTAGTACTGCCCTTGTATTCGTGGACAGGTGACCATAGCCTGCTAAGTTAAGCGAATCTGCCTACCCCAGTTGCTATCAGTTGCCAATAGTGCCTCAGATAGGCATTCCCCTTAATTAGAGATTTTTCCTCTTTTTTTCTTCCTTTCTTTCTTTCCTTCTTGATTTTTTTTTTTTTGTGAGTGGGGTGGATCAGAGTCTCATGTAGCCCAGGTTGGCCTCAAACTCAGTATGTAGTTGAGGCTGATCTTGAACCACTGATCCTCCTGCCTTTTTCTCCAAGTCTGCTTGGATGACAGGCCTGAGCCATAACACCCAGCTATTTTTTTAAGATTATTATTAATTTGGCTTTTTGAGACAGGGCTTCTCTGTATAACAGCCCTGACTGCCCTGGAATTCCCTTTGCAGATCAGGCTGACCTCAAACTCATAGTGATCTGCCTACCTCTGCCTCCCAAGTATTGGAATTAAAGGCATGTGCCACCATGTCAAACATATTCTTTTTTTTTTTTTTCCAAACATATTCTTATTATTTTCAGTTATGTGTGTACATGAGTGCAGAATCCCTTGGAGGTCAGAGGTGTGCTGTATCCCTAGAGCTGGAATAGCAGGTGGTTGTGAGCTGCCTGCTGTGGGAGCTGGAAAAGCAGCCAGCGCTGTTGAGTGTGGAGCCATCTCTCCAGCCAACACATGACAGGGTTTCTCTGTGTAACAGCCCTAACTATCCTGGAGCTAGCTCTTGTAGACCAGGCTGGCCTTGAGCTCACAGAGATCCTTCTACCTCTGCCTCCTGAATCCTGAGATTACAGATGTGTGCCCTTATGTCCAACTTCCAGCCTTAATGTTGACAGGAACTTCTGGTCATGTGAAATCTCTTGCTTAAAGTGCTAGTTATTTGCATACTGTTAGATTATGTGGTGGAATGATATCAGAGTCCTCATAAAGAGCCACTGGACAGGTCACTTGTGTGGAATAAGGCTTCTGAAAGCAGAGCAGAGAGCCACCTGGTTTCTTTCAGGGGAGCCTGGCTCTGCTCTGACTCTGGCTGCCAGGTTCTCTCTGAGAACCCTGTAGCAAATGCAGCAGGCTGCCTCTGGTTGGGGTACAGGTCTGCACCTGCAGTGTGTTCCCAGTCTTCCAAAAACATGTTTCTTTTTTGTTATGTTTTGTTTTGTTTTCTGTTTTTTGATAGAGTTTCTCTATGTAGCCTTGGCTGTCCCGGAACTTACTTTATAGACTAGACTAGCCTCAAACTCAAAAGATCTGCCTGCCTCCGCCTCCTGAGTGTTAGGGTTAAAGGTGTGCACCCAACTCCCAAATGTGTGGGTTGTTTTTTGTTTTTGTTTTTCCAAGGCAGGGTTTCTCTGTAGTTTTAGAGTTTGTCCTGGAACTCCAACTGTAAACCAAACTGGCCTCGAACTCACAGAGATCTTCCTGTCTCTGCCTCCAGAGTGCTGGGATTAAAGGTGTGCACCCCCACCACCCAGCCTTCTCTAACATGTTTTAACCTGGGTTTTAGGAAGGAAAGGAGCTGGGGAGCTCTAGCCAGTGTGTGCCTGTCTCTCTGGAAGAAACTGCAGGAAGTGACAGGGACAGGCAGGATCTGCAGTCAGCAGGTTGGGGCTGCCAGGGTTCTGATTGCAGAAGGTCACAGAGAGACTGTCTGACTGTGCATCTTTCTTTCACAGTGTACCTGGTGCAGGAAATTACCAGAGCTGATATTCCCCTGCCTGAGGGAGAAGCCAGTCCTCCTGCACCACCTCTTAAACATGTTCTAGAAATGCAGGTAACTCCTCCTGAAGACGCTGTCTTCAACAGTCCTGGGACTGCCTAATTGCCTTCACAGTCCTCACCCTTCATCTCTCTTCCCAGAGCTGTGGCCTAAAGTAAGGAACAGTGGAGTCGCACACCCTCAGGGAACTGTAATGTGTTCTGTCTGACAGTAGAGGGCGCTGCTGGCAGGAGAGCTGAGGAGTAGTTGAGTCCCTGTTGAATCATGGCAGGTTTCAGGATACTCTCTGGGACTACCCATCATAGCACATCTGTCCCTGCACCAGTGCTGGGGGCTGCAGACCTGGACTTCATATCTTTCCCATCAGGCCTGAGTGCTTCCAGGTAGCTGGCATGTTGAGGACGAAGGATATGGCACCATTACCCCACCTCTCTAATGAATACTGGGTGGTGCCTAAGGCTCTAGACTATTTTTATTTATTTATTATTTATTTATTTATTTATTTACTTACTTACTTACTTACTTAGGCAAGGTCCCAGTATGTAGCTCTGGCTGGCTTTGAACTTACTTTGTAGACCAGGCTGGACTTGAACTCATAAAGCTCTGTTTCTCTGGCTCTGAGTGCAGGGATTAGAGGCCCGCACTAGCACGCCTTCCCTTCTAGATTTTTCTTGTTAGGGTTTGGCACTTAGAAGAAATATAGTGGCTCTTCATCACTCTTCTGAAATAATTGCCATGGTATTGCTGCAGCCCTTTGTGGCCGGCTGTTCTGTCTGTCTGCAGGAAGTAGCCAGCCACTTGGTGTCTGGGCTCACACCAAGCATGGCACCCTCCCAGCCACGGTGACAGCCCTCTGGTTTGGCTGGATGGCCTGGTTATGACATTCTTACGGACAGCAATGCTGCTGGTAGCTTGTGGATGCAGAGCACAGGGAGGAGAAGGAGCAGGAAGGGTTGTTTTGAGTGAGTTGCATTGGCTCAGTGGTTTGTCTTATAAAGGCTGTGTCTGTGGTTTGAATATGTAAAGCAGGAGAAGGACGCTAGGTTGTAACCATGAAAGCCTGCATCCTTAATTGTGTGGTGGGACCAAGCAGACACTTCAAAGCTGGAGGCAGGAGAATGTTTAGAAAAGATGATCATATGTTGTTTCCATTGTAAACAAAAGAAATAAAGATTGTTGTGTGGGGTGGACAAGCAGCTGAAGGAAAGCTGGCAGCATCAGATTCTGGGGGGCATGTGTGGCCTGCAGGTGCCTGCAGGTGTTGTGGTTTGACCATGAACTACACTGAGCTGTCTGGCACATTTGCATTCTGGCTCTTTGCGGGCACTGTGGCCCTTTGAGCCTGGGTGACGGGGTGAGGAGGCTACACCAGACTAAGCCTGCTTTCACTGCAGCTGTGTTGTTGCAGGAGCAGCTGCAGAAGCTCGAGGTGGAGCTGAGAGAAGTCACCAAGAACAAGGAGAAGCTGAGGAAGAACCTGCTGGAGCTGGTGGAGTACACCCACATGCTGAGGGTCACGAAGACCTTCGTCAGGCGGAACGTGGAAGTATGTGTGCCCGCCCGCCAGCGGGAGAAAGCTCACCTGACAGTCCCTGCCCCTGCTGTGCTCTCTTGTTAGCGCCCTTCCAGCTTTGGGTTTGAGGTAGTCTTGTGTGTCCCTCTGGCTGACTGCCGTGCAGCTTGACTTGATACTGCTCCCGGTGCCTCCACTTCCCCGTCCTGGAAGTCAGGCTGGCTTTGTCACACTAGGCATGCACCCTGCCAGCTCTGGCTCTGCTCACATTGACGTCTTTGTTTTTGAGACCAGGTCTCACTATGTAGCCCAGGCTGGCCTTGAAGTTGGACTGATTCCCACCTCCGCCTTCTGAGCGCTGGCATTACAGGCAGGAGCTGCCGTGCTTGGTGTAGATGTGGTTTTGTTTCGTTTGTTTGAAGTGAGACATCAGCCTCTGCTTTATTCTAGGCTGGATCGCACACTTCTTCCTGTGTTAGTGGTTTTAGCAGAGACGCTGCTTCCTCCCGTCAGAGGCTTTAGTTTTCAGTTCAAAAAAAGATTTCTTTTTTTAGTTTCAAGACAGGGTTTTTCTGTGTAACAGCCCAAAGTATCCTAGAACTCACTTTGTAGACCACGCTGGCTTTGAACTCACTAATCCACCTGCCTCTGCCTCCCAAGTTGCTGGCCTGGCTTTTTTTTTTTTTTTTAACTGTTTTAAAGAAAACTTTTAAAATGTTTTATATTTATTTGTTTTGTGTGTATTGATATTTTACCTGCATATATATCTGTGCACCACATGTGTGAGTTACAGAGGGCTGTGAGCGGCCACATGGGTGCTGGGAATTCAACCCAGGCCTCTGGAAGAGCAGTCAGTGCTCCTAACCCTAAGCCATCTTTCTGGCTTCTACTTTATTTTATTATTTTATGTGTGTGGGTGTTTTGCCTGTACACCAAATATGCAGATATTATTTTATGTGTGTGGGTGTTTTGCCTGTAAACTAAGTGTGTAGATGGAGCCCCAATACCCTGGAAGAGGAGTTAGAAGCAGTTATGAACAGCAATGTGGGTGCTAGGAATCAAATCCAGGAATTCTGGAAGAGTAACAAGTACTCTTAACCACTGAGCCATCTCTCCAGCCCCAAGCAATGTGTTTTATGGTCATGAGGAAAAAAAAAATCTTGGTTTTTCCAAATGGCTGTGAGCAGAGGGGGCAGGAGGAACCCTCACCAGTGAAGACTGGTTCCCACAGGCGTTGGAGGCTCAGTGGGCTGGGGTATTTGTGTGGATGCCCGAGTGTCACCAGATGCTTAGAACATTGCATCTTAGTTACAGCCGCTCATCCTGCCCCACGCTGGGCTGGGCAGGGCATCGAACCCTTCCCTTCTGAGGTTGCTCTTAATTGCCCTAGTTGTGACCCTAGATACAGTTATTGTCTCTTGAACCTAGGTCCAACCTCACTTAGAGCCACTCCCGTATGTGAATGTCTTCAAGCAGTTCACCTGACAAGCTTGATAGAGTATTTCTCTCCTATGGGGAAGCTTTCCCTTCTCAGTTGTCATTTGGACATGATGCTCAGTGGTACCATCCCTCTGTGGACTTATCTGGAAGCTTGTAAGGGTGGATTCTGTTAACGGTGTGCCTGCTTCCATGTCTTTCCAGTTTGAACCCACTTATGAAGAGTTCCCCGCCTTAGAGAACGATTCTCTGTTGGATTACAGCTGCATGCAGAGGCTGGGCGCCAAGCTGGGGTAGGTGACAGCGTGCACCAAGCCCTTCCCGTAGAATAGGAGACATGGGCCATGGTGCGGGTGAATGGGCCATTATAGCCTGGGATTGGCCCAGAGTGAGCGTCTGTCAGAGAACACTGGGCTCCTGTACATTGGACTTAATCACACAGTGTTGACGTAGCTGGATGCCGTGGGGATTTCTTCTCTTGGTCTTTTGAGTTGGAAAGAAGCAGTGTCTGTGTTCCCCAGTGTTGACTCCTGTGAGCCTGCCTTAACTGTGCCACAAGTCGGAGGACAGCTCACAGGAGTCAGTTCTCTGGGATTGAACTCACTCGGCTTTTAAATTACATTTCCAGTGACCCCTTCTGCCTCTGTTCTTTTCTTTCCTTTTGTTTGCTCCTCATCTTCATGCTCTTCTTAGACAGAGTGTCACGTAGCCCAGGCTGGCTCAAATGCACTATGTAGCTGAGGATGACCTTGAACTTCTTTTGCTTCAGCCTCCCAGGTGCACAGGTGCAGGGATGGCAAGGTGTGTTTCATCTCTTCTTTATTTTAATTTTTTATTAATTTTTTCTTCTTCTTCTTTTTTTTTTTTTTTTTGGAGACGGGGTTTCCCTGTGAAACAGTTGGATGTCTTGGAACTCACTTTGTAGACTAGTGCTCCACCTGCCTCTGTTTTCTGAGTGCTAGGATTAAAGGCATGCATCATCATCACTTGGCAAATTTTACTTAATTCTTTTTAAACTCATTACTTTTTTAAAAATTTTACTTTATTTTTTAAATTTATGATTTTCTTTTTTTAATTTTAAAAAAGTTTATGCATATGGTTGCTTTTGCTTGTTTGTATGCCTGGATACTATGAATGTTCCTGAGGCTCACAGAGGCCAGAAGAGGGCATCAGATCCCCTGGAACTGACATTATAGCCCATCACGAGCCACCTCGGGGGTACTGGGAATTAAACCCAGGTCCTCTTCAGGAGCCAGTGCTCTTAACTACTGAGTTATCTCCTGTTGTGTTTTTTTTTTCTTTTTTAACATTTACCTAGCGTGTATGTTTGGGATTGGTACATGCATGTCATGGTATGCACTTGGAGGTCAGAGGGCAACTTTCCGGAGCTGGCTCTCTTTCTACCACGTGGGGTGGGCATGACTGCAAGTACCCTCTCTTACTATGCAATCTTGCCAGCCCTCTTGTTCTCCTTTGTGGCTCTGGAGATGAGACCCAGAGCCTGGCACTGTCTAGGCAAGCTCTCTGGCACTGAATTACATCCCCAGCTACGGCTTTTTAAAAAATGATCTCATATTCCTGTGTTCCGTATTTGGGCATCAGAGAAGTTTGATATGAAGATACGTTCCTTTAGAGAGATTTCTCACATTCACAGGTAACTGGAGTCTTGTTAGCCCAAGCTCAGTTTTTATTCTTAGAACGGGGATTTTATTCTTAGAATGGGGACTTAAATTTTTTTAATTTAATTTTCAGAAGTGATATGAACTTATGCCAAACTCCTGGCTGAGTTCTGTGCTGTGGCTGTGTGTTCTGAGGACAGCATCTCCCGTGTCCAGACCCGCAGCTGATGTAAGCAAGTGGCTGCGAGGCTCCTTCCCCTCCAGATCTCTGCTTCTTTAAGGAGCAGCCCTTTGGGCAGGCAGTCCTGGCTGTGGTGGGTTCTGCCCCATCTCCTCACCTTGCCAGTGCCTGGGCTTATTGTCATCTTTCACACTGGCGCGTCCAGGGTCTGCAGTGTGAAGAGCAGAGCAGCTGGATATCTGGTTTGGTCTTGAAATTCCAAGACCTTCCCCTCACTAGAGGCTCAGCTGTCTGTGGAAAAGGCAGCTTCAGCAATGCTTTGTCTAGCACGTGAGCATCTTGCCGCTTGATGACTCTTAGAGCAGCCTTGGCTGGCGGAGGCGGAGATCTCTCAGTCCTGAAGCCTGGCCCCTCACTGTCTCGCAGATTCGTGTCTGGCCTGATTCAGCAAGGCAAAGTGGAAGCATTTGAAAGAATGCTGTGGCGGGCCTGCAAAGGGTACACCATCGTGACCTACGCAGAGCTGGACGAGTCCCTAGAGGACCCCGAGACGGTGAGTGCCTGTCACAGGCAGAGCCCTGTTCCAGCCTGTGTGCACACTAGCCCTACAATTCTCCTAAGTTTGGGCTTCCAGACCCCACCTCAGAAAGTAGCAACTCCATGTCTAAGGTTCAGGGCAGAAGCCTCAGGACACCCGCCTTCTCCCCTACTTCACTCTATCCCCAGACTCAGAGACTGGACTCAGAAACAGGGAGTCTGGTTCATGCTGGTTCCCTTGCTCAGCCATTCTGGTTGGGATTTTGGTTGTACTTTTCTTTTTTTTTTTTATTTATTTACTTAACTTTATTATGTTTGTTGGTGTGAAGGTGTCAGATCTCATGGAACTGCATTTTCAGACAGTTGTGAGCTGCCATGTGGGTGCTGGGAATCGAACCCGGGTCCTCTGGAAGAGCAGCCAGTGCTCTTAACCGCTGAGCCATCTCTCCAGCCCCTGGTTGTACTTTTCTTGCCTCTAGGTGGCAGCAGCCCCCACCATCACTCTTGCACCTGCCCCGCCTCCCCCTGGACTCCTCTCAGCCTGGTCGAGCTAGCCCTACCAGGGCTTCTCACTCTTCTTAGAATCTTCCCATGGCTTCCTGTTTACACAGCAGAAAGCCCTGTCTGTCCCCAAGTGCTTTGTTCTTCTGCGCCCTGTCTGGCCGTGTTCAGCTGGCCACCCCTCTCCAGTGTGCTTCTCTTGTGTACTTTTCCTTTCACGCCAGTCTTTCCCAGGTCCATGTAGCTCTCCCTCCCCTTCATGACAGTCATCTTTCCTGGGACCTTCTTTTCCCGCCTGTTTTTTATTTAAATTTATTAATTTACTTGTATACAGTGTTCTATCTACATGTATGCCTGCATGCCAGAAGGCATCAGATCTCATTGCAGATGGTTGTGAGCCACCATGTGGTTGCTGGGAATTGAACCCAGGATCTCTGGAAGAACAGGCAGTGCTCTTAACCTCTGAGCCATCTCTCCAGTCCCCCATTTCTCATAGATGGCCACACAAACCCTGCCTCACTGCCCCTCCAGCCTGTTTTTTTCTGTAGGGTCCTCTGCCATGTTGTCATGCTGACCATAGCTCCCTTGGCTTACTGCTGTTAGCGTTGGCAGCTCAACAGTGACTGGCAAACAGGCAGAGCACCTTGGGCTAGCTCTGTTCCCAGTGCTAGGGGCTGAGCCTGGCCCTGGTTCACAAGAGGTGAGTTCTGCATTTCCCAGCTCAGCTTCAGAGAATTCTGTTTCATTGACCATTGTAATGATGGCTGGTCCTCATTATTCACAGAATTATGTTGTTTGAAGTCACAAATTATGTAAATACTCAATTAGCAAATGTTATGGTGCTTCTCTGTTCCTGGGGCAGTGTGGGTTTGTTCCTCCGAAATCTCTTCGTCACTTTTCATCAGCGAGCCACACCGGTCTTTACTTTGTGTTTCTCTTTGACTTCTTGTTTCCTGTGCATTGTTGACTTTGGGGAACTGTACTCTTAGCTGTTGGTGAGTGAGGCTGGTCCATACAGATTTCCAGAAGGCTGCTCGACTGGATTCTGGGTGTATATGTCCCTTGGTGGCCATCTTAAACAGCACCATCACCAACAAAAAGCACATACAAGGCCGTTGTGACAGTAATGGAGGAGGGCGCTTGGTTACAATATAAAAGTTGACCTGGGAGGAGGCAGACCTCAGCCTTGTGTGCTCATCCGCTTACAGGAGTGTGTGGCTCACAGATGCCTGTGAGCCGGCATGTGTGCATGCTGCTTGGGGGTTACTGGTGAGTGGGTGATGCAGTCCTGTTGCAGTCATGGGTTTGCTGCAGTCAGAGCCGCTGCACCGTCTGCCCCGATGGTGGACTTGGTCTGGGGGCTGAGGGCAGACTCACTGTCCTGTGTGTCTTGCAGGGTGAAGTCATCAAGTGGCACGTGTTCCTGATATCCTTCTGGGGTGAGCAGATCGGCCACAAGGTTAAGAAGATCTGTGATTGGTGAGGAAAGTTGTCTTTTCCTCTTTTCCAGTGCTGGGAAAGGAATAGGCACTCTCAGGCCAAGCGGGCCCTCTGCCCTGAGCTGCAGCGGGCCCTCTGCCCTGAGCTGCAGCGGGCCCTCTGCCCTGAGCTGCAGCGGGCCCTCTGCCCTGAGCTGCAGCGGGCCCTCTGCCCTGAGCTGCAGCGGGCCCTCTGCCCTGAGCTGCAGTGGGCCTCCAATTCTTCTGCTTATTCACTGCACCGAGGACTTGCCAGGTGCATGCTGCTTGGGCAGACTGTCAGCCTGACTCAGTCTGTGATCACTTGGGGAGAGTGTAGGTGTCAGATCCTCTGGAGACGAAGCTACAGACAGTTGTGAGCCACAGTGTGGTCCTGCGAACTGAACCCAGGTCCTCTGGAAGAACAGCCGGTGCCCTTAACCTCTGAGCCCTCTCTCCAGCCCCAGCTTGTGTCCTTGCAGCAGACACGTTTTAGTGTGACTGGGAAAGCCGCACCAGCTTAGTGAAGCCCCTTTGTTGCCTTTACCAGGCTACTCTTGGGAAAGGGCTGGTGGCTCCTGCAGAGAGAAAGGCATCGCTCAGCAGGCAGAGTAGGGCAACTGTGGTTTTAAGGCAGTGTGCTTCTGGCATTTTCTGGGTGTCTGAGGCCATGCTGCCTGTAGGACAGGTCAGGCCTCAGCCCACGGCTCAGCTTAAACAGTGTCAACCCTGAAACAATAGCCAACTCAGACTTATGATCCTCCTGTCTCTGTCTCCTGAGTGCTGGATTACAGACTGTACCACCATTCTGGCATGTCTTCTAGGTGTGCTTTCTGCTTGTTAGGTGGTTTGTTTTGTTTTGTTTTTCTTCTTCAAGAAAGGAGACAGGATTTCTCTGTGTAGTTCTGGTTTTCCTAGAATTTGCTCCGTAACCCAGGCTGACCTCGAACTCAGAGATCCACCTGCCTCTGTGCCCTGAGTGCTGGGACTAAAGGTGTGCGCCACCACTGTTTATCTTTCTTGGTGGTTCTTAACCCCAGGATACTGGTACATTTCAGGAAGGCAGGTGGGTTGATCTGAGGGCACTCATTTACCATAGCAGCCTGCTTGCAAGGCCTCCCCATAGTGGACAGCTGTGGCTTTGCCGTCAGAGGGCGGCCCTGCCTGGTGCTGGAGGCTGTGTGCCTGGATTGAGCGGATCCTGGTGAATTCTGTCCTTAGTTACCACTGCCACGTCTACCCGTATCCAAACACGGCTGAGGAGCGCAGGGAGATTCAGGAGGGGCTCAATACTCGGATCCAAGACCTTTACACTGTGAGTAAGCCGGGGCTGGGAGCATGTGAGAGGCCTGGTAGCCGGTTGTGGGTGGTCACCATGTATTCCTGACATTGGGGTGTCTGTTTTGTGGTTACAAAGCCAGGAATGGTGAAGGGACTTAGACAAGCCTTTGTGTCTCTTTGGTCTACTGGATTGTCCTTTGACCATGGAAGACAAGCTTGAATGCTGGGCATCGTCCCACCTGCTTGTTTAATTTGACTTTCTCTTGATGGTGCTGAGGAGTCTGGATAGCTATATCAGGATCAGATTTTCACACATGGAAACAAAAGGGAAATGGGAGTTGGTAGCTTCCAGGGCTGGGCCATCCTGAGTGTAGGCGAGAGTCAAAGGGCTGTTTGGGTCAGTCAGGTCACCCTTCTGCCAGGGATAGAATGTCCGAGCTCTTACTGTGCCTTTGGGGCTCTTCTAGGAGGTCACCTGGTGTGTCCCCTTGAAGAGCTGGCAGTCTCTGACCATTCCTGGTATTACAGCCATGGGAGCAGGTACCCAGAATGCTCCTCCTCTGGAGGTCAGGCTGGTGGACAAGAACTTCCCCTGCTTGGCCCCACAGGTGCTGCACAAAACGGAGGATTACCTGAGGCAGGTGCTGTGTAAGGCGGCCGAGTCGGTGTGCAGCCGGGTGGTGCAGGTGAGGAAGATGAAGGCCATCTACCACATGCTCAACATGTGCAGCGTCGACGTCACCAACAAGTGTCTTATAGCGGAGGTCTGGTGCCCCGAGGCGGACCTGCCAGGCTTGCGCAGAGCACTGGAGGAAGGCTCGGTAAGGCTTGCGTCCCACTGGCACCCCCAGACCCAGAGCACTCAAGGACAGGGTGTGTCGCTGAATGCAGTACTGCAGGCTCGTGAGCCCCAGGACTAGAGAGGCTGCGGCAGGAGGATGGAGAGCTTGAGGCCAGCCTGAGACATTGTCTCAAGCAAGACAGAAAAAGTTTCTGAGTGCTGGCCAGGGCCTGGTCAGACACTGTTTTCAGACAGGGTTTGAAGAGTGGCTCTCTTGCCCTGGAGAGATGGCTCAGTGGTTAAGAGCACTGACTGCTCTTCCAGAGGTGATGAGTTCAATTCCCAGCAACCACAAAGCAGCCTCACAACTGTCCGCAACTCCAGTTCCAGAGGACCTGTGTGACACCTTCACACAGATGCAACAATGCACAGAAAAAAAATAAATGAATGAAAGAGTTGGTCTCTCTGGCATTGTGTGGGGGAACATTTTAAGCTGTGTTTCTGAGTAGTAATGTACTGGTACAGACCACAAGAGAAGAAATAGCCGTGGAAGCTCTTCCTGCTGACCACAGCCTTTTCTGCTCCTCCCTCAGGGTCACCGCTACACTTCTGTCCCGCCTCCGTCACTGAACAACATTTGGCCAGATAAGGGCTAGGGCTAGGCAGCCTTTCTTTTTATTTTGCCTTTTAAAATGAAACCCCTCTCTCTTTGTAATTTCTAAAGATCTGTGTTTGGCCTGTGGTCCCACTGGGAAGTCCAAAGGATGGTGGGTGGCGGCTGGCGTGGCTGCTTGAAATCGGCTCCCTCTAACCAGCTGATTGCGTGTTCTTCTTTCTGCTGAATAAAATCTCTTTTTATGGCCAGACTCTGTTGCAGAAACGCACCTTGATTTATTAGCTGGGTTCAGTCCACCAGGTACAAACACTGCTGCGCAGAATAGCCTGTGACCTTTGAAACTTAGCACCTGCTGGTCTTCCAGAAGGATTTCCTCCCCCACTCTTGCTGAGTGAGGCTGGGTTTCTTCCCGTATTCTCTCAGCTCACCTTCCTGTTCGCATGCACACCGTTGCTCTTTCCCCTGGTGTTGGTCTGTTTCTCTGTGCGCATTTCTGGGCAAGTGTAAATGTTACACTGAGCTGAGCTGAAAGCTCACGGAGAAGATTATGCCACAAAGATAAAATTTTGTTTTTTCTTCCCTATTTTCTTTTTTGAAAACTAGGTAGTGTAGCTGTGTCTGACTTCCTCTTTGCTAAGCACTTTAAATTCCTTCTATTATGCATTGTGTCTATATGTGGATACCACTGTGCCCGTGGAGGTCCTGGGGATTGAACTCAGGTCATCAGGCTTGTAGGCAAGCACCTTTACTCACTGAGCCATCTCACCAGCCCTTTCTTGACCACTTTTAAGAGATAAAGTCCTAGATATCAAGGCTTTTTCTTTATCTCGCTCTCTTTTATTTTTATTTATTTTTATTTTTTTCTGTTTGAGACATGGTCATGCTCTGTTGCTAGGCTGGGCTCCTGTTTGAGATTCTCCTGCCAAAACCTCCTGAATGCTGACACCCAGGCCCGCACGGCTGGCCAGGCTCACTTGTCAGCTTCCACTGCCCTGGACTTGATTCTGTTTCCATCCACTTTACCCCAGAATTCCATTCCCACTCTCTAGTTCCATTCAGCTCTCCTTCCAAGGGCCCCAGCTCCAAGTTCTGGCCTCATGCCACTAGGCTCCGCATGGATGTCTGGCCTGGCGACTTCTGTGAACATGCCCTACCCCACCCTGCCAGAGCGTGGCCAGCTCAGTCATGTGCTTATCTGTAGCTGCTTTCGTGGACAGTCATCTTTTCTTTTTCTTTTCTGTGTGGAAGAGAGAGAGTGGAGCTACAATCCCCTCGTTCATGAACACAATCCCTACGAAAGAGACACCACCCACTCTGATCCGCACCAACAAGTTCACTGAGGGCTTCCAGAACATCGTGGACGCCTATGGTGTCGGGAGCTACCGAGAAGTGAACCCAGGTGGGCATCTGGACAGGGCTGGTCCTGCACTTAGCTCAGCTCAGCTTTGACTTTGGTTGCGATTCTATAACTCTGACTAGCCTGTAACAATCCCAATGTAGCCCAGGCTGGCCCTGAACCCTTGATGATCTTCCTGTCTCTGCGAGCTGGGATTATAAGCATGTGATACCATGCCCAGTCCTGTTGGTCCCTTTTGATAAGGGAATGTAATAGGTGTTTGTCAGGTAGGCTCACTACTGTCACCTTGTCAACTGGTATAGCATTTAAATGCCCTTATTGTCCTGTCCTGAGAGAGAGAGACAGTGTGTGTGTGTGTGTGTGTGTGTGTGTGTGTACATGCTGAGAACTTGCCAACCCTCTGTCTCCACAGCTCTCTTCACCATCATCACCTTCCCGTTCCTGTTTGCTGTGATGTTTGGTGACTTTGGGCACGGCTTTGTCATGTTCCTGTTTGCCCTTTTACTGGTGTTAAATGAGAATCATCCCAGACTCAGCCAGTCACAGGAGGTAATGCGTGCCTGCCAGCCCGTGCACGGTGGGAGCCATGACATTGTGGTACTGGAAGAGGGCTGTGCTTTGTCATTGAGGTGGTCTTAGGTAGTCCGGGCTAGCCTCAAACTTGTTACATATTGAAGGCTGGCCTTGAACTTGTGATTCCCTTGTTTCTGCCTTTTGAGTTCTGGGATTATAGGTGTGTGCCCCACACCTGGCTCAAGAGCTTTGAGTGTATAAGTGCCTGTCACCCCTGGGTAAGACATTGCTGTTGGGGTTTTCTGGGAAGGCCCAGAGGAGTGGCTGGAATAAACCAGAATGAGCTTCTCCTGAGCCACTGTCCAGTGGGTGAGTCTGTCATCACCGTGTCCTCTCCAGATCCTGAGGATGTTCTTCAACGGCCGCTACATCCTGCTGCTGATGGGGCTGTTCTCCGTGTACACCGGCCTCATCTACAACGATTGCTTCTCCAAGTCTGTGAACCTCTTTGGCTCCAGGTGGAACGTGTCTGCCATGTATAGCTCCAGCCATTCTCAGGAGGAGCAAAAGAAAATGGTGCTTTGGAAGTAAGTAGTCTGTGAACAGAAAAGCGACAGGTAGGGTGTACCTTTCTCAGGCCCTTCCTCTGCACGTGGCGACATTCTCTGCCCTCTCTTTCAGTGACAGCACCATCAGGCACAGCAGGACTTTGCAGCTGGACCCGAACATCCCTGGAGTTTTTCGAGGCCCCTACCCTTTTGGCATTGACCCTGTGAGTGCTTCTTTCCCCATATTTCTGAGTGAGGGGGGCTGCTGGGGAGCTGCTGTACCTCTGTTAGTGTAGTCAGTAGGAGCCAGGGCAGTGCAGGAGTGGTTGGCAAAGCCATGGGGCCATGGTCGTATCTACCAGTCTTTTCCTCTGGTAGAAGTGACCCTTCAAACAGGTTCTGAACTGCTTCATAGTTTGATCTGGAGAGGAAGGTGAGCCCACTCTGCAGCTAGATCCAGCAATGCTTCCAGCCTTGGCTCAGGAGCAGCAGGCTCCCTGGTTTTGACACTGAAGCCCTGGCCTGGGAAGTCAGTTGGAAGCACCAAGAGAAGGTGTTATTTCCTCTGTAAGGGAGAGTGACAGTCATGTAGGAGCTTGCTAGCTCCTGCTAACGGACTTACGTTGCTTCTGTCTGGTTTGGTCCTAGATTTGGAACCTGGCCACAAATCGTCTCACTTTCCTCAATTCCTTCAAGATGAAAATGTCTGTTATTTTAGGAATTATTCACATGACTTTTGGTGTCATTCTGGGAATATTTAACCACTTGTAAGTACATGTTTTAACTTTCTTTTTGTTCTTCATCTTTCATTTTTTTTTTGGCAGTCCGTCCTGTTGTATGATTTTTTTTTTTTTTCATTTTTCAAGACAGGGTTTCTCTGTAGCTTTGGGGCCTGTCCTGGAACTAGCTCTTGTAGACCAGGCTGGCCTCAAACTCACAGAGATCCGCCTGCCTCTCCCTCCTGAGTGCTGGGATTAAAGGCGTGCGCCACCACCGCCCGGCTGAAAATAATTTTTAAAATTGGGGGTTGAAGAGACAACTCAGTGGTTAAGAACACTTTGTGCTCTTTCAGAGGACCTGGGTTTGGTCCCCAGTGCCCACATGGTGGCTCACATCACAACTGGCTATGGCTCTAGTTCCAGGAAGCTTATACCCTCTTCTGGCCTCTGTGGGCACCAGGCATGTATATGGTGTACTGACAACATTCAGGCAAAACAACCATAAAGAAATTAAATAAATTTTTTTTTCTTTGGTTTTTCGAGACAGGGTTTCTCTGTGGTTTTGGAGCCTGTCCTGGAACTAGCTCTTGTAGACCAGGCTGTCTCGAACTCACAGAGATCCGCCTGCCTCTGCCTCCCAAGTGCTGGGATTAAAGGCGTGCGCCACCACCGCCCGGCTTAACAGTAATTTTTTAAAAATTGATTTCATTAAAATAATATTATTAAATCTTAAAAAAAAAACCCAGCAAAATCCCTAATATTTTGAAGTCAGACTCAATAGCAATGTGTTTGTGTGTGGTTCTGTAGATGCTGTCTTCTGTGGGGGGATCTGTGTGTGTGGTTCTGTAGTCGCTCTCTCTGTGGGGGGATCTGTGTGTGTGGTTCTGTAGTCGCTGTCTCTGTGGGGGGATCTGTGTGTGTGGTTCTGTAGTCGCTCTCTCTGTGGGGGGATCTGTGTGTGTGGTTCTGTAGTCGCTCTCTCTGTGGGGGGATCTGTGTGTGTGGTTCTGTAGTCGCTGACTTCTGTGGGGGGATCTGCAGCTCTGGCTTGAACCAGCAGGCACCCATGGAGCCCTGGAGCGGCCTGTGGTGCCCTGGCGACAGCCTTTCAGCGGCCTCATTGCCTCTCTTGCAGGCACTTTAGGAAGAAGTTTAACATCTACCTGGTGTCCGTCCCTGAGATCCTGTTCATGCTGTCCATCTTCGGGTACCTGATCTTCATGATCATCTACAAGTGGCTGGTGTACTCGGCAGAGACCTCTAGGGAGGCCCCCAGCATCCTGATCGAGTTCATTAACATGTTCCTGTTCCCATCCAGTGAGACACATGGCCTCTACCCCGGGCAGGTGAGTGTTCCTCCTCTGCTTGGCAGTGACAGCCCCTGCATTCAGGCTTCTCCAAGTAGTCTGTGATAAGGAAGGCCACACTGAAAGCAAGATTGTGAGAGGATTCTACTAGTGTTCCTGGTTTTCCTTTTGCAGTGATCTCAGGAAGTTATTAACTATAGTTTGGCTCTATTTAGATTTTTTTTTTGTTTTGATTTTCAAGACACGGTTTCTCTGTATAGACCAGGCTGGCCTGGAACTAGCTCTGTAGACCAGGCTGGCCTCAAATTCAGAGTTCTGCCTGCCTCTGCCTCCAGAGTGCTAGGATTAAAGGCATGCATCCTAACTGCTCTAGCTAGATTTTTTTTTTAAAGTAATGGAATGCTTTATAAGTTTACATGTCACCCTTTCTCGCAAGGACCACGTGAGCTCTGTTTGGTTCCAATATTTTAGTGTGATGCCCAAATGAGCTCCCGTTTAGAATTTGTGTGAGTGTGGGTACCTGTGTCTTCAGGGAGAGGTCAAATTTGGATGCCATTCCTCAGGCACCAAGCACCTCTCTTTTTTGTTGTTATTCTTGTCGTATGTGTGTGTGCATGTGCATGTTCACGTATGTGTGATAGTCTATCCCTGATCTGGAATTGTCAGAGTAGGCCAGGGTGACCAGTGATCGAGCCCCAAGATCTTCTGCCTCTGCTTCCCAAGGGCTGGGTCACATATAAGCTTGCACAGCCACAGTGGGGTTCGAACTCAGTTCAGACTGAGGCATTACCAAAACCTCCATTTAGATTTTTTCTAAAGCATTTTACTGTTTTCAAAGCAGTATTTCAGTGCTGTGTCCTGAATGTTGGGAGCTGGAAGAAGTGCAGAGGGTCCCTTGGTCACAGGGACTTAGCAGTCATCTGTCTTGTGCCCCTGGCCCTCACAATCTACTCCACGCCCCGTGACACGGTGCCGCCCTTCCATCTTCCTGCCTTCTCCCCTACACCCGCAGGCGCATGTCCAGAGAGTGTTGCTGGCCCTCACTGTGCTGTCGGTCCCTGTGCTCTTCTTAGGAAAGCCACTCTTCCTGCTGTGGCTGCACAATGGGCGCAGTTGCTTTGGTGTGAGCCGGGTAAGTGCGCTCCCTGTGTCCCGATGTTCTGATTCCTCCACAGCTGGCCTCATTTAGAGCCTGGATGTTGCTGTTGGGCTGCAGCTGGAGAATAATACTGTTACAACATGTTCGCACAGGTGTTCCCTCAAGTCTCTCCATGGGCACTCCTGGGTGTAGAAGTGGAGGTGTCAGGTTACGGGGCACATCTGCATTTGCGTTTTGAGGACCTGCTGTACTTCTCTAGCAGCTGGACCATTATAAACTCCAGCAGGAATGCTCTAGGCTTCCAGTTTCTTGATCCTTGCCAACACTTATTATTCTCCACTTCCCACCCTTGTTCTTTGACACTGCTCTTTTATCTTTAGAGCGGTTACACACTTGTAAGGAAGGACAGTGAAGAAGAGGTTTCTTTGCTGGGCAGCCAGGACATAGAAGAGGGGAGCAACCGCATGGAGGAAGGCTGCCGGGAAGTGACGTGTGAGGAGGTGAGCTTGAGATGGGTTGGGTGAGAGGGGATGCTGGTCATTGGTTGCGCTGGTGTGGTTGTCTGGTTATTATTGTATACTGCAGTTTTCATTTGGGTCAAGTTCACAGAGCAAAGAAAGCAGAGTGGGAAGAGCCAGGGTGCTGCAGTCCCTCCCCTCATGGGGACAGCACCCTCTACCCTCCCTCCCCAGCCTTAGGCATGAGCTTCCCCTGTGCACCTGTAGCTGGGGAATGCCCATGGGAGTGCTGGCTAGTTTTGGAGCTGGTTCAGATGTCACTGAGGTCTCTACCATGGGCTTTTGTGGCAGTCGCAGTTCTAGGCTGGTGCTTGGTCGTAGAGAGGGGACTGAAGCTTGAGTAGAGTCAGGGAGCTCGTGTGGGAGGGGGCCGGTGAGTCCCACTCCCACTGAGAGCAGGACTCAATCTCAGACCTGCTCTTTCTGGCATCGGCATGCTCTATCCTTGAGGCCGGCCAGGGACTCACAGTGGAGCAGGCTTGTCATATGGTGTCTAATGTTCTCTGTTGTCCCTCAGTTTAACTTTGGGGAGATCCTGATGACGCAGACCATCCACTCCATTGAGTACTGCCTTGGCTGCATCTCCAACACCGCGTCCTACCTGAGGCTTTGGGCCCTCAGCCTGGCGCATGCACGTATGTTGCTTAGCTCCGTGGAGTGTGTAAGCTCTCCAGGTGGTGGTGGACCAGGGCTCTTTGTTGTTTTGACCCACCTTCCGATCACGCAGGTCCCAGTCCTGGCCTAGGCGCAGAAGGGCTCTGTGAACTGAGGGCCTGGTGACCTCTGGCACGGATGCTCTCCTCCGGTTCATGTGTCCAAGTGTATCCTAGCCATTGCTTTACTCACTGAGTGGAGTCTTTATTTCAAGCGAGTGTGGCAGCTGCTGAACTGTAGCTCAGACTCCTAGTGAGTCCTCATGCACGTTTGTTCATGGGCAGCTGAGCCCAGCGTGACTCGGCCTCTGTGTGAGACACACCTGACAATTACCTTGACAGTTGTAGTGAGAGCCATGCCACCTTTGCTCCAGCCTGGAGGTAACTGGTCACTGAATGAATTTACTTCACTGACAGTGAAACATGAAGTTGTGTTGCGTTGGTATTCCATGACAAAGCCCTGGGACATGTGGCAGAGATAGGTAGTCACAATAGGGTACTGACCAACATGGGACAGAGTGAGGCCCTCTGTGTCCAAAGACAGTGAGGGTGAAGAGGCTGCTTGCTGGCAGCAGACCCAGACTTGAAACAGGTACCTTGCTAGGTTCAGACAGGACTCTCAGTCCGGGTCCAGGCCCTGAACTTGCTGAATTAGCAATAGGAAGGGACGATGGAGCCCCCTAAGATTGTTGTTCTTCACAGGGAAAGCAAGGAGGTTCGGGTCCTCTGCTCTGGGGGTAGGCTGACTGGTGGTCATTCCTGCTGTCCCGAGGGTGGTGAGAGGGCTGATGTTTTCAGACTGAACTCTGCTCAACGGCTTCCTTTGCAGAGCTGTCCGATGTGCTGTGGGCCATGCTGATGCGTGTGGGCCTGCGTGTGGACACCACCTACGGGGTCTTGCTGCTGCTGCCTGTCATGGCTTTCTTTGCAGTTTTGACTATTTTTATCCTTCTGGTCATGGAAGGGCTTTCTGCATTTCTCCACGCCATACGCCTTCACTGGTGAGTGTGACATGTATCCTCAGAACGTATTTTAAAGTGGAAATGAGGGCTAGAGAGATGACTTGTGGCTGAGAGTGAGCTGCACTTCCAGAGGACCCACGTTCAGTTCCCAGCGCCCGTATCAGGTGCCTCACGGCTTCCTGTCACTCCAGCATAAGGCGTCCAGTGGGTGCTCCGGTCTCTGCAGGCACTCGGGTGCACATACACAGGACATGCAGTGCTATACACGCATAATAAATCTTTTTTTTTTTTTTTTTTGATTTTTCGAGACAGGGTTTCTCCGTAGCTTTTGGTTCCTGTCCTGGAACTAACTCTTGTAGACCAGGTTGGCCTCAAACTCACAGAGATCCGCCTGTCTCTGCCTCCCGAGTGCTGGGATTAAAGGCGTGCGCCACCACCGCTCGGCGTAATAAATCTTTTGAAAAGGGTGCAGGAACTGGCAGGAAGGCTCAGTGGGTACAGATACCTGCTCCCAAGCCCAGTTCAGTCAGCAGGACCTGCATGGGGACGGAGAGAACCGATGCCCAACAGCTATCCCCTGACAGTCACATGTGCGCATGTTAATAACTAATACAGAATTAAAAAGCCACCCCTTAAGGAAAAAATACATGTATGTAAAACCCCTTTCTAAACGCAGTGCTTATGATGGCTAGCTCCTCCCACCCAGCTGTGAATTAGCAGTTCCAAAACACAATGCAATTTATCACAAGTAAAAGAAAATTTCTATCTGTGATGCAATAGTGTGTTCTCCCTTTATTTTTATTTTTATTTTTATTTTTTTTGTTCTCCCTTTTTGTTGTTGTCATTGTTTTTATTTTTTTGAGATAGGGACCAGGCTGGCCTCGAACTCAGAGATCTGCTTGCCACTGCCTCCCGAGTGCTGGGATTACAGACAGGTGCCACCATGCCCAACGTGTGTATGTTCCCACTTTTATTTACACTGGGACTGGCAAGTGTCACTGATGGCTTCTGGATTAGTACCTTCCTTGTTGTGGGGGCAGAAGTCAACTTGCAGGAGCTGGTTGTCTTTATCGTGTGTCCTGGGGATTGAACGCCGGGTGTTAGGCTTGCCTGTACCCCCTGAGCCCCCTGAACTGTCTCGGCAACCTCCAGGGTATTCTCAATGTTACTCAGAATGTGTGCCTGGCTGCTGCTCTGTGGTTCCAAAAGTAGCCAGTGTGACAGAGGAGTCCTGGTGTCTTTTCCTCTGTGTCTGGTTATGGGAGCTGACACCTAGGGTGGAGGGAGCAGGGGACAGGGTGTTGAGGTGACACATGGGAGCCTGGCTGGATGGGGAAGCCAGTGTGGACTCTGGAGAGAATGACAGGGGAACATGTTCATGACAGGAATGCGAAGAAATGGGAAGATTTTATCCCAGTGTGTGCATAGAAGAGCTAAGGAACTCGGTACAGTCTGCCCAGGTCTATGGTGGACCTTCTTCTTAAAAGAACTGTAGGAACATCATTTCACTCACAGTTCTGTGTGCAGTCCATGGTGGGGAAGGCATGGCGTTTCTAATACATATTTGTTTTTCTTTTTGTAGGGTTGAATTTCAGAACAAATTCTACGTTGGTGCAGGCACCAAATTTGTTCCTTTCTCCTTCAGTCTGCTCTCCTCCAAGTTCTGTAATGACGACGACATTGCATGATCACATGGCTGCAGCCGTCCGCTCTCAGGGCTATGGAGAATGATCATGTTACACAATTCCCTCAAGTCAGATTTCTGACGGGGAAATTCCACCCTTGATGATTGCCTTACGACTCAGCCAATGATTCTGTAAGATACACCTCTCCTCGTGTTGAAGATTTTGTAAAGCTCACCACTTCGGACACAGAAATTTCGTTGGTTTTTATTATGAGCAAAAGTGAGCTATGCCAACATTACATTAAAGATATTTTTTTAATAAGTGTACGATTGGAGGAGAAAAGCCAGCTGAATGGCTAGCTAAAATTGTTTTTAGATTCTTGATTCCCTTCCAACTTAAAAAAAAAAACACAAGAGTTGTTCCATCACGAGAAGACGTCAGATACCGTAGTTTTCTTCAGACATTCTGCTGGGCCATCAGCAGATCCCCGCACCCTGCTGGCTCAAGAATGTGTGTGTTCTGCCTGGATGCTGTCAGAGTCACAGGAGGGAAAGGGACAACACAGCACAGCAGATGGCTCTCCTGCTCGTTCTTACAAGAGCCCTGCCCCGTTACCTTTGTCAGACCAGTCATGACAGTTGAACGTTCGGAAAGATAACTGTCCAGAGCCTTAAATCCTGGTGCGGCTACAGAGAAGACAGGTGAAAGTAATGTGTATTTTTGTAGCAAAGAACAAATGAAGCTATTTTGCCACAGAGACCTTGCTTCTGCTGGGGGACAGTGTAATTTTTTACTTTCACAGTAATTCTAAATAAAGGTCTGATGGCCACAGTTTAATTTCTAAAAACTCTTGAGGTCAGTTGAAAACTAATTCTCACCAATCTGTTCATTCATCGTCTCGAGCAGAGATCACCTGCTCCTGTGTCACTTAGCTCTGTACGAAGTGGGCTCGGCCCTGCTGAGCCCTGATCCCTGTCATAGGCTCATAAATTATGTTCATTCTCACATTTTACATTAACTGGTTTTAGATTAAGTATTTCAGAAAAGAAGTCTGCGGCTGGGGTGTGGCTTGGTTGCCAGATCCCCAGAATCACTTCGTGTTCCTAGCACTCAGAGGGTGGAGGCAGGGGTTACCCTTGGCTGTGTGGTCAGCCTGAGGCCAGTCCAGGCTACATGGCATCCTAAAGAGAAAAGGGAACCTAAAATGTTTCTGCCCTCTTGAAATTTTTACTCACATGCTACTGCAGAGGTCCTGTTCATCCCCCTGCCCCACCACTCTGTGAGGCCTGCTTGCTGAGACAGTGAACTGCCCGTGCCGCAGCTGGACTGTATTTAGCTGCAGTGGAGTCTGCACTGGTGGGCAGTGAACTCCAGCATCTGTGCCGTGTGTGCCAGCTTCCTGGTAGCTGTGATGCCAAGCCTACTGCTGCTGGGATGAGGTGGTGCTGCCCAGTGTTAAACCTGCTCTTACTCATATCCGTTGTCACTCCCACGATGTCACTTTCGTTTCTGGTCCCCCAGGGTCTCTGGTCCCCAGAGAGATAACTGATTCCAGGGATAAGGACAGGAGATGCAGTTTTGGCCATGTTCATTGTCCTTCTTGGCAGTTGTGATGGGGCCACTTTTCAAGTAACTAGCATCTCTTACTGGGGTGAGAGAGTGACTTCTCAGCTGAGGTCTGTCCCAGTTACACGGAGTGTAATTACATGAACAAATTACTCTTTTTGTGAACCCTCTGGAAATATAATTGATAGCATTATACAGAGGGAAGCAAGCAACTGCCTGGGTAGTGTGATGTTTGTCCTCCCTATCACCGCAGAGCCGTGCCATCTGTTCAGGTGTTCACTGCGTCACGTAGGCTTCCGTTGGTGGAGAGGCCGGATATGGCCAAGTAGAAGCAGGCAAAGGGGTTTGAGCACTTGGACTCTTCCACCATGGGGCCTGGGACAGATTCCGTTTCCCTCCAAGTCCTCTCCTGGCCTCAGTTCTAGAATCTGTATGTTTCGAGATGTTTAATGCCACCTATGCAGGCCTTGGACTTGTACCTCTCTTGCCTCGACTCTCAGCTGGCACTACAGGTACGCAGTGCTGGGCTTGGCCGGGAGTAGCTGTACTGGCATTCGGGCCCAGTGCTCTGGCATAGGCCATAGACTATCCGTTGATAACTTACGGGGTTGGAGAATCAAGCTGTGATTTAGAGTTTGACCCATTTGGGAAATAAATACACACGAAAAAGCTTCAGCCATTTATTTCTCCTCTGAAGTTTTTAATCTGGGGTTGCTCGCGTGCCGTACTCTCCAGGCAGACCTTAAGAACTGTCCTGATGCTTTAATACGGAAGTTTGGAGTGATGTCTGTTCTGCCCCGGGACTGCTGCTGCCCGGCTCTGCTCGGACACCACGAAATCCACAGGAACTACGGGAGCCAGTCAGGACTGCGTCCTGCAGACGTATGAAGGACTAATCTCCTGTCAGTATGGAACTTCCTTTTGCTAGTGACAAATAAAAATATATTTTTGAGATGCCAGTGTCTTGTTTTCTTGTGATCCTGTTCCCTAACCCCCTATGCCAGGAAGAGCCAGTCCCTTTCTAGGGCCCCACTGGTGTTCGCCATGCCCTACCTGAAACACAGGTGTTCTCACAGAGCCTAATCACTGAGACCAGTCCCGCCTGCCTGTCCTGCTTGGTTCGCTTCTGTTGCTGTGATAAACACCAGCCAAAACCACATTGGGGGAAGAAAGGGTTCATTTGATCCTAGGTTATACTCCATCATTAAGGGCAGAAGCCGCAGCAGGAACTGAAGCAAGACCTTGGAGGAGAGCAGTGCGTGCTGGTTTGCTCCCCATGGCTTGCTCAGCGGTCAGTCCAGCACCGGCTGGGTCCTCCTACGTCAACCAGCAAGCAAGCAAAGGTTCTATAGGCCCATCTGATGTTGGTAATTCCTCACTGAGATTCTCTTTTCCCAACTAAGTGTAGGTTTGCATCAAGAGCTCACAGCTTTCTAGTCCCGCCTGGCTCCGCCTCAGAGCCGTGCCCTTGTCACGCCTCAGTAACCAGCTTCCCTGCACTTCAGTTTTCCTACCTGCAGAATGGAGGGCCCTCAGCCTCACGCTGGTGCTGCCAGCGCCGACGCTGTCGCCCAGGTGCCCGTTGCTAGGGGCGCCGTTACCACGGACGCCGCCCGGCTCCCGGCTCTGACCTCCTCCCTGCGTCCTGCACCGCTCAAGTCTGCGCCATGGACGACTTGCGGGTTCTGTGGATGCGCGACCGAGTGTACACGACCTTTGGCCTCACCAACCCCAAACTGTTCGAGGACCTGCTGAGTCGCAACGACAGTGAGGCGGAGGACCTCATTCTTCACTTCCTCAATCACGCAACCGACGAGGACTGCGCCTCCACGCTGTTCTTCTACCGCGATCTGGTGCCCGAGGAGGTGGAAGTGGAGATTGGTGAGCCTGGGCAAAGGCCAGCCTACAGTCAGCACCCTGCTGGCATTTAGCCCTACTATGCGCCCGGGGGCATTAGAGGGAAGCGCTGCTATCCTCGCTCTCAAAGGCGCTGTGTTGCCCAGAATCTCTTGTCCTGTAAGATGCCTCCCAGCGGGAGGGTCCCAAGGCCAGGGTCTGCAGAGGCTCAGGGGAGCTCACCTTCCATGCCTAGCCCCCTACTCTAAAAAGCGGCAGCAGGCCGAAGTGCCGCCTGACTGCAATCCCTGCTGAGGTAGGATCACCCGAGGACCATGGCAAGCTCAGGATCACCGGAACTCCACAGCCAGCGAGAAGCAGGAAAGGGAGAGAGAGAAGATTAGAGCGGGAGGGACCTAGCGTCAGGATACATTGCGCCCTGCTCTCATTTACCTTGTCTTCATCATTTATCACACTGCGAGACAGGGGCTCAGAGCCCAGCCTGGCCTGGAATTCACCCTCAAACTCTCAGCTCTCCTGCCTCAGACGCACCAGAACCTAACCATCCCGGCCTTTATTTTCTTCCCCAAGTGGAACTTTGAACCTGAACACATTATCCTGGGCCTCTGGGTGAGGCCCATTTATTGCAAACAAATAAAAGCACCGATTTCCAGATGCAATAGTTTAGAAAGCAAAAACCCTGCACCACGACCCTAATTTCTTGCAGTCTCCAGGAGCTCCAGCAGCAGGCGATTGTCTCCTGCTGGGTCTGCTCCTACTGTAGCTATTGCAGCCACCTGCCTTCACTCCACAGTGTTTGGGTCTCCCTTCAGAGCATCCCCTGGGGCATCTCTGAGTCAGGGCGTTGTGGAGACCAGACTGGCCTTGAACTTGCTATTAGTGGGCAGTTAGCCTTGAACTTCTGTTTCCACCTCCCAAACCCAGAGCTTGCAGGCCTCACTGGCACACTGGGTTCATTGGAACACTCTCCCTCCAGACTGTGCCCAGTGCTGCAGAACATGCTATGGTGTGGTGGACCAAGCCGCTCTCATCCCGGTGAAGGCGTGTCCTCAACCCTCTTCTCAACCGGCACAATTTTTCATGCTGGCCTCAGCACCATGATGTTTTGCAGTGACATTTCCGAATCCCTGTGGGGTGTGTCCCTACCCTTTGGCTCCACTTAAAGCAAAGGTTTGGCAACTGTCTCGTTTGGGGATAAATACTATTTTGTATTTTCTTCCCCATCCTGGATCCATAAAGAAGAAATTCCTGTGGTCTCTGAAGAGGAGGCAGAGGAAGATGAGACCGAATCTCAGAAAGAAGAGGGTCCTGATAAGGTGACAAGTGAGTGTCTGTAGGGACAGAAGCCACTTCTCCACGGGGGTCTGTGGAGCTGTTCGTGGATATGTACACTAGGGTCCCTGGACTACCGTCACATGGCCTTAATAGGACAGCAGAAAACAGCAGAAGTATCTCAGGCCCAGAGGCCCAAGGTGTCCCCAGGGTCATACCCCTCTGGAAGCTTTAGGGAAGACCCCACCTTACCTCATTCTGCTGCTGCTGGCACTGGCATCCCTTGGCTTGTGGGTACACTAGTCCCCGTCTGGACTTACACTGCCACTTCCCTTACCCAGGCAAAGATTAAGGCAGTGTGTGTGTGTGTGTGTGTGTGTTGTGTATGTGTGTGTTGGTCAAATTTAGGAACAAAATAGGGATTCTTTTTTTTTTCTTTCTTTTTTAAGACAAGGCCTCAGTAGTAAGTTTGATCTAGCCTGGGCTACTTTTAAAAAGCAAAGGAACAAAACCCATAGCATAAAACTGTAGTAATATTTCATTTGTATTTTAATAAATAAAGCTTGCCTGAAGAATAGAATGCAAAACAGCCACACTAGCCAGCCATACAGGCCAGGCAGCAGTGACACACACCTTTAATCCCAGCAGCCATACTAGTTTGCCATAAAGGCCAGTTGTTGTTGTTGGTGGTGGTGGTGCGCGCCTTTAATTCCAGCACTAGAGAGGAATATAAGGCAGGATGAGACAGGAACTCGCTCTCTTTCAGTCTGAAGATTTCAAAGAGTTAAGAGCTCTCTAGTGGCTTGGCTGCTTTTGCGTTTCTGATCTTCAGGTTGAACCCACTATCTCTGGGTTCAAATGTCTCTGGCATTTTATTATTCATGTTACATTTGGTACCCAGCATTTGGGGTATGAATTCGTGAAGAAGCTATTGGCACAGGCTGGAGCTTCATATGGGGCTCCAGCCCTACCCAGCTAGACTTTCTTTTCTTTTTCCCCCAAGTCTCTGAGTAAGTTTGGGCTTTTCCTGTTGTAGCCTCTCCAAAACAGTCTCCAGTTGCCACCCAAACTCCAGAAGCACTTGGGCTCTAAACGCCACAGGACTCGCTGGCCCTAGACTGACTGGTTCTTCCTTCAGGCAGCTCT